TCTGGGGCGCTTCGGGGCGTTGCAGCCTGGGCGGGACTTGCTGCTGTTCTGTTGCGCTCAACCCAGCCTGCGGATTCTTTGCAGGGAGTAGATAATAACTGCCCAAGGTGAATTGATTGATCAACGGTGGAAGGCAGTGGTTACTGGAGGTTCGGGAATTGTGCTGCGGGTCCTCTTCTCGCGTCTGAGATTTTCTTGTGTGTGTGTGTGTGTGTGTGTGTGTAAGTGTAAGTAGTGTCTCCTGTGCTTCTCCATCCAGTGTGGTGTACTATGTGGCTTACTCCCCCTTTTCCCGCTAAACAGTTATGGAAGTGACTGTAATCTTTATCTTCACATCCTAGCACTTAGAGGGTTTTGATGTCACAAACCCGGATCGTAGCATAAGGTATTTTAGCATGGGGACAGGGCAAAAACGCTAATTCCCAAAATAGGATGAATTGTTTTGTGGAAGAATAGCAAGCCCTTCGTTTTTCACATTGCTTTTGATATGCTTGTGATAACAACATGGGCTTAACAATGTGGGTTTCAAGAAATTGAGACAAGTTCAGTCAGGACTAGGTATTTAGTCTATCTGATCATCATAGTAGCGATCTACTTAGTACTTGTAGTCATGGGTACAATGTGATTAGCCCAGAGATTGGTAGGTGAAGGGCAAAGGAAGAAAATGAAGGAGCTTTCAGAAAATTCGGAGATCCAGGGTTGATCAGTGCTGTGGAAGGATCATTAGCAGTTTGAAGGGCTGGAATAAGTTGAATCTGTGGAGGCAGGGGAGTTGGAGGTTGCAGATGTCAAAGAGTACTAACATGCTAAGGTCCTGGGGCATTTGGAGGTTGTGCCTTTCCTAGTCTTAAAAGAACAGGGGTTATGTCTTCCTCTGAAAAGTAAGGGAGTAGGATGATGGGTGGGAAATTTCAGAAAGTTTGTTTTCAGACTAAAGGGATTAGGGTGGAGGGGATTGATGAGCTTGCTTTGGCTAGCTGTGAACTCACTGATTTTGAAAACATGGTGATCACAGAACCCTAGTTGTTTGCTGTGTTTGTCAGGGTTCAGTCAGAAAAGTAGAAACCAGACAGTATTTCAGAAGCATTGAATGTGAAGAATTGGTTAAATGCTTGCTGGAGGAACCAAAAGTAACATTAGCAGCGCAGTGACAAAAGGTAAGCTGAATGAAGCAGCTAGGTCGGGGGTCAAAACAAGGGACAGTGCTGGAGACATCAGGTCCTAAACCTTGGCACAAAGGCACTGCAAAGCCTCAGACTTGAGGTGTCTAACTCAGTAACTCCAAGGAGATGCCCCTGGTTTGGATTTCAGAGGCCTGGAGGTGGGTGAGGCCTGCCTGAGGGATGCTTCTGCCTCTGGGGCTGGAATTGATGAGGCTGATTCTGGGAGTGCTAGAGATGGGGAGGGGGATAGAAGGCCCCTGCAAGGGTGAGGGCCCATTACTGGGGTGAAAGTGACAGGAACTACAAGATAATAGGAAAAAATCGGTCATTTTCTTTTGCTTTAACTTCCCATTTAAGAGGTGACAGCATGAGTATCAGATAAACCAGTGTGAAAACCCACTAGGACACTGCACAGTGGCCTCTGTTGCCTGTCCTTATCTGCTCTCTGTACCTGGCTTACTTCCTTTGCCATGCATTCTCTTTTCTCACATCCGCTTTTCAGTTGTATGCCAGTGACCATCTTGAAAGATAAAAGATGTGATTTTTATGAATGGAAAAACCCATACCCTATGTAATTATGTTTAAATGAAAAACCTGCATGGTATCATTTGGTTCAAGTAATTTTCAGAAGTTCTTGAATATAACGTCACCAAAATGTAATAAAGCCATTATTTGCTTTGGTTCTCACCATATATGATCTTGCTTTCTCTTAATCCTCATATATTATATTATTCCTGTTACACTTGACATCTGCCTAATACCATAAGGATTGATTCATCTTTATTCTTGCAGTGTCATATGCATGAGATGCCAAATGGGAGAATTCACCTTGGATTAAGGTGACAGGCCAGTGTGACCTGTGTAATTGCCATCCTTAACATGTACAGACTTCAGTCATAACCCTTAAAGGGATTGAAGCATAAATACCCAGCACATTAATATTTTTTCCCTACTTAAATAATGTTGAGTTAAAGAAAGTCTGATTTTGCCAGACAAAGTAGATGTCATATTTAGCATGCTTTTCTCATCTTTTCTGTTGCATTGGTAAAAGCTTGGCCAGGAAAATGAAGTTTCTTTAAGTATTTCCATCAGGCCATCAAATGTTTCAAGATGTTGGTCATCATTTTTAAGCAAATTGTCATTTCACAATATTTTCTTTTCTACTCGAAAGCAGTAAATGCTTTTATTTAAATTTTTATTTTTTGTGTATATAAAGCAGTTTACTAGTAAATGTGTCTTGGTGAATATGAAAGTTGTTTTATTACAGATTCCTTTCAATTGCCAGTATACATACATAGTTTGTATATGTGTGTGTCTGTGTGTGTGTGTGGGGGGGGCTGGGGATTGAACCCAGGTCCTTGTGCTTGCGAGGCAAGCACTCTACCAACTGAGCTATATCTCCAGCCCTCATACATAGATTTTTATATAGTTCTTATCAACGGGATATCTTTTTTTCCTTATAACTTCATAAATCTGTCAGGTTATAAATATATTCTATATGCAAAAATAAAATGTTTTCCCATTTATTTTGTGTTTTTCCACTTTCCTTAGGAGTAAATGATATTTAAATATTTTTTTCAAGAAAAAAACTGAAGTTGAGACTCTTGGCCTTCCTACAGAGTGAGAGCAGAAAATAGGTTTCAGAATCCCCCAGTTTGTAGACCAGAGCCCTGCAGTAAGCTTGCTGCCCCACATCTGCACAGAGATGCATGTTCAGAGAAGTTTTCTCTCTTGCTTGTTCTTTCTACTATTTCTCTACCTCACCGGAATCATTAGACTTTGTGAGTGTGAACATTTGCCATTGTTAAGCTGTTCCTTTCTCTTTTAGGAATTAATGCTTCATCAAGGGAAGTTTGTATTTTCCTCTTGAGCATTGCTTCATCATGCGAAATCTAAAGTTGCTTCGGAGTCTGGAGTTCAGGGATATTCAAGCACCAGGGAAACCTCAGTGCTTCTCTCTCCGAACCGAGCAAGGAACAGTGCTCATTGGCTCAGAACGCGGACTGATAGAAGTAGATCCTGTCACAAGAGAAGTAAGTTATTGATGGAAAATGCTAGCATTTGACATGATCTTTAATTTGTTTTCTTTCAGACTTTTTCCCCCCAAATAGTCTTCTTTTATATCTTAATGAATTTACATCTTCCTTAATAAACATTCTATTTGTTTTTTATAGATAGCATACTAGATATAACTTAAATAGTAACCTCTGCTACTATTTTAAGCTACTTTATATTTTACATGGGCTGCCTCCCTTTTACCCTTTCTACTGTGTGAGAACTATTATAGCAGTGGTTTTCATCTAAGAATGAACAGGAAAATTTGAACTTTTTAATTTTATTTATTTATTATTCTGTGGTGCTGGGGTTGAACCCTGGGCCTCTGCATGCTAAGCACTCACTCTGCCGCTGAGCAATACTCCTAGGCCCTGTCTATGGTGCTTTTTGAAAATATGTTTGGGCCAGCTGAATCCCAATCTTCAGTGCTGAGTTTTACTGTATAACTTTCTGAAGGTTGCGTGAGTTAGTTTTGATATATTCCCTTGTTATATTTTGCTATTTATGTGTTTTGGGAAATTACATTGTATTGCTTTTCCCCCTTATTATAGAAGTCTTAGAAAACCAGAGTTATGGAGCTGGGGATAAAGCCCAGTTCATGCACAAAGGCCCTGAGTTTTATTCCTAATACCAGAAGAGAAAAGCCACAGTATTTGGTTTGGTGTTTTATTAGACATGTTAAAAGAGACCATATTTCTTATTTTCGTTTGTTTTGTGTTTGACAAGAAGGCCGTATTGCCTGTTTTTCTTGTTAAAGGTGATAGAGTTATAATATTTCTCAAATGAAAGTTTGGGCTTTAATCTAGAGATAAATTTTTAAAACTTTTATGTTATGAAAGAAGCATTAGAAAATATTTTATTTCTGGCACTTATGATTGTTCTCCAGAGTAGACTATGTTAATTTGCTTATGTGTTTGCTTTGGTGAAAGGTGAAAAATGAAATTCCTCTGGTGGCAGAAGGCTTTCTTCCTGAGGATGGAAGTGGCTGCATTGTTGGTATTCAGGACTTGCTGGATCAGGAATCTGTGTGTGTGGCAACAGCCTCTGGAGACGTCATACTCTGCAATCTCGGCACACACCAGGTGAGAAGAGTCCAGTGAGGAGGAAATCACAAGCATCCCCAACTGAGTTACTTGTGTTGAGGTTTTCAATCCATAGTGATAATATTTAAGCTTTTGCAAATTAGAATCTTCCCATTGTGTATTTTTTTGTATAAGGAAAGGCTTTCGCTATATTTCAGGATTTTTAAAAAATTCAGTTTTGTCTACTGCATCTATTGATCAAAACAATTGGGTCATTCTGAATTAGAACTTAAATACATAAAAACTAACCATTCTTGTATGGTGTATTGTTGAAATTCTGTGGTCGGAATTTCATCCTGGGTTCTAATTTTTATTTCCCAGTTTAGGAAGACTGAAATATTTTCTGTTATAAATTTTGGTGGACTATCTGTAGAGTCCCTGAACTACAAGCACTATAGTGATATACTGTCACTGCAGGCATATTTTAAGACTACCAGCAGAGATAGATTTAAACCAGTTGCTTCTTTCTCTACCATGAAGTCAAATTTCTGAATTTCCATTTTAACCTTTTAACTACAAGGATTCTAATTACAATCTTTTAAAATTGTTGATTACCTCATTAGTTGTTATCTCTTTAACATTGAGATGAGTTTTAGTATTGCTAATACTAGGGTAATAATACCAGCTTATACATATTAAATATTTGCAATGTGCAATTGCAAAAAAAAAAAAAAAAAAGCACTTTTTCAAGTGCTTTTCATGTAAAACTTTATTTGTTCTTACTCTGGCCTTCTGGGGTAGATTGTTGTTTCCTAGTCTTCAGAAGAAGAAATTGAGGCACAGAGAACTTCATAAGGAGGCTACGATCACATAGTGATCACACTGGAATTTGAACCCTTGCAGTCTAAATATGGCATCTTTATTTTTAATCATCACTGCATTTAGAACATTATTAATAAGCTTTATGTTTAGTTCATGGTGAAAAGTATCAAAAGCTATCACAGTTTTATATTTCTCATATTTAAAATGTGGGTGTTAACATTCAAAATGGTTTGTATAGTTTTTCCTGATAACTAGCCTCCGTTTATCTCCACTTAATGGGGCCTTTCATGTCCCTTTGTGACTTTTTGATTATCTGTAAGTTGAGTCTGTGTTTGTCATTGCCTTATAATATCTTTAATTCCCTGATCCCCATGCTGCCTTTGACCTTCATGCCTCCCTGATTCCTATGTAGATGTGGACCTTAGGCTCTGGGAACTGTTGATTTTTGACTGCCCTTTATGCCTTTGTGTCTCAACACTGTGTTTTTCCTCCTGATCTTTCTCTTCTCCTTTTGTTGTCACTCTGAACTTCACAAAAAACTTTGCTGGACTCTTTTGAGCTGCTTGTCATCCCTTCTGAGACACCCACTTTGCTTCCTAGAGACCTAGAGTCATGGTGTTCTCCCCCTCCTGAGACAGCTCTGGGGAAGAGGGGTGTCCACTTTAACTCCTGTGCCTAATATCATTCTGGTTGCTGAAGACATGTTTGTTGGATAAATTTTCCTTCATCTAGTGTCCCTACTATGGCCTCAATCAAAACAAAAAACAAGCATATGAAGGAAAATTTATCCAACAAACCTAGTGTTCTAACTTCCCTTTTTAATTTTCCTCTTGGCAGTTGGAATGTGTTGGGAGTGTGGCCAGTGGCATCTCTGTCATGAGCTGGAGTCCTGACCAAGAGTTGGTGCTTCTTGCCACAGGTGAGTTGGTCCTTGGTGCCCATCTGAACAGTGATGCCTGTGTTATAGTGTGGAGTGAATGTTTTTTTGACTTAAGTTTTATCTCTGTATAGTTATAAAAAGATGTTTAAAATAACTTTTTTTGGTCTTTAGGAATAGAAAACAAGTCATGAAGCCTGTGGTGGCTACCGAGTCCACAGTTGCAGTTAAAAATTTCAACATTTATTTTATTTTTATTTTTTTAAATTGTAGTTGGACACAATACATTTATTTTTTTATGTGGTGCTGAGGATCTAACTCAGGGCCTCGCATATGCTAGGCGACCGCTCTACCGCTGAGCCACAACCCCAGCCCTCAACATTATTTATTTTAATCTACTCCATGAGTAAGAGTTGGTGTAAATGGAGTCTAAAAACCCCTTTTTGCTCCTGGTTTTTTCCTTGAATCTCTTTGTTCCAGATGAGCATGGCAAAGCAGTGTCAACTGCTGAGGTAGATAGTGAAGAGTGGAAGCTGGGAACGTTGAAATCAGTGGCGGGGGTTGTGTGAACTTTTTTATTCAGTTTTACAAACATGAATATCTGTGGATAAGCACCAGGTGACTGATAAGCTTTTTTTTGTTAGTCAAAAACTTTTGTAGGCATTCTCTCTGCCTGCTTCTGACTATAACTCCTCCTCCATTTTGGTTTAGCGTACAGTGCCACAGATGCCTCTGTAATGACAATTTGTTACATGAAAACAAAATCATTCTTGTTTGTTCCCCTCTAAGGTCAACAGACCTTGATTATGATGACAAGAGACTTTGAACCAATCATGGAGCAGCAAATCCACCAGGATGATTTTGGTGAAAGTGAGTACAACTTGGGAACATTTTGTGACCTAAAGTTCCTCCTCAGTTTTAGTCATTTACTTTTACACTAATAGCCACATCATAAGCCTGGAAAACTGTACAGCTTAGATCTTCAACAAAGTGAAGATCTAAGCCTTGTTCCTTCAGCACATCTCAGATCTTAAAAGGCTGACTGTGGTGCCTCTCCAGGTCTGAGGGTTGGCCTTGTTGATAATCCAGGAGATGGAAATCTGTGCCTAAGGTCACCTAGATAATTGTTGCTCTAACCCTAGGAAAGGCTTAAGCTGAAAGGGTCTGTCTAAAGCTAGAAAAAGGAGAGCATTTCTAGAGTACAGTTTTGGGAAGAAAAAAACAAGAGAGGTGGGATACTTGTAAGCTGGTATTATTACCCTAGTATTAGCGATACTAAAACTCATTTTGATGTTAAAGATTTGACAACTAATGAGGTAATCAAAGAAGATTTAAATAGAGAAGATTTAAATTTTTGTTTTTACTAGATCTGTATTTACAACTTCATGAACACAATCAGATTGTTTTCTTGCAAAGATCTGGCCAAGCTAATTTAGGTTTTGAGGCTGTGTGACTATTGTAGGAGGGAGGTGAGAGGAGATGCGTATTGAGTAAAAGAAGCTCTGGCCTACTGGAAGGAGCCCAGTTGACAAGAGGTTTTGGGGGAGAAGGCATTTCAACTGTTGCTTAGGTCTAACCTCATTCCTTCTTGCTCCATCAAGTTGAGAAATATTTAGACAACTGCTACTTATTTAGTTATTCAAAAAACAGTATGTTCAGAAACAACTTTTTAGTAGGTAGTATGAATCCAACAATGTGTTTGATGCTATGGATAATTAAAAATGAGTAAGGAGTGTTGATATTGTGTGTAGGTGTTAGGATAGCAGAAGGAAGGGAAGAGAATAAAATTCTAACCCCTCTTATCCAGGGGGTGACAAACTTGTTTTATCAAGAGTTAGCATGTTTTTAGTTTTGCAGGTTTTACAATCTGTTGCAACTATTCAACTCTTTTTGTTGCAATGTAAAAGCAGTGGTGGACAAAAATAAAGTGCAGCTGTGTCCCAGTAGTTTGTCTGTGATGCAGGTGTTAGGCTGTAACTTGCAGGTCCCTGCTGTAATCCCATCTCTTGTTGTCTGATCCCGTTGGGAAAGTTCTCTTGCTTTACTCCTTGGTCCTTTACTTCTCTGTGGAAACTTGCAGATAGAAGCCCACGGGTGTGCACTAGGATAAGTACTGATCTTTGCACACGGCACCAGGGTGTGTTTTGATGACTGTAGTGCTGGAACAAGCCCATGCAAAGCAGACAGGAAACGGTCATGTTCACCAATCATTTGCAGAAATTATGAACAGTCCTGCTTCATCAGAATCAGAATCAACAGCAGGAGGGAAGTATTGGGTCCTGCAGCTGGCTGATGCTTTCAGGTCCGTCATCATACTACCTCTTGTAGATGGATTCTGGATCACACTTCTAGAAACAGAAGAGCTGCTTTGTTTCAGCAATTCTGACTTTATATTTTATATAAAAGAAACTATATTTAGAAAGAACCCCACCGGATGGCAGACACTTGTGTTCTGATTTTTGGCTTTGCCATAAGGGGATCTCAGTCTTTAAGTCTGTATGAGGAACTGGATTTGAGATCTGTAGTACCCTTTTCCACCAGAAGGAAGGTTGGATACATTTGTTACTTTAAAGCTGGAATTTAGAATTTTATTCTCAGCTCTTGAGGGTTTTTTTGATTTGTTTCCCATGGACATATTGTATAAATTCTTCATATTTCATTTTTCTTATGTGTTAAGTGAGGGTGAGGTTGTTGTCTTGTGTCATAAAGCGAACTTAGAGTGTATAAGGTGATAGTTAAATGCTTTCCAAAATAATAGCTTTCAAATTTCTACAAATCACCACTGTATATGAATGGAACACGGGTTTTTTCCAGTATTGATTGCTGGTCAGTTTATTGAGAGGTCTTAGAGGATCCAAGTAATTATCAGAAGCTAACTTTGTGAAGAATGATAAATTGCTTTTATTTTATTTCATTCATCTTATTGGTTGTCTTGCATGTTCTGAACAAATTGTTCTGCAGGCAAGTTTGTCACTGTTGGATGGGGCAAGAAGGAGACACAGTTCCATGGATCAGAAGGCAGGCAAGCAGCCTTTCAGATGCAATTGGTAAGGTTGATCTGATGGTTTAAAGAACCTTGATTGGAATAAATTGAAGTTTTACTGCCCAGCAAAAACTCCCAAATCACCAGTTACAGGCCAATAAATGGGCTGATCTCTTTGTTGTTGTAGTGAACCTGTAGCTGTTCAGAACCCTCATGGAGTGAGTCTCTTTATAAAGATCCTTCCCCCCCCACCCCCATGTTGCCAGCTGTTTTGTATGATTTTTTTAAGTATAGGAACCTGACAAATAGAAATGAAGCCACCTCGGTAGCTTTTCCTGATGCCTTCCCCATCCTCTCCAGAGAGACTGATATCCCTCACTAACTATTGATCATTCACATGTGTGTATTCATACTTTTCCTCTAGATGTTGATATTTTTTCTTCTTTCTTTCTTTTTTTGTTCTTTTTCTAGGTATTTTTCCTGTTGGATGAAACTCTTTTTTCCTTTTTTTTTTTTTTTTTTTTTTTTTTTTAGAGAGTGAGAGAGGACAGAGAGAGAGAGAGAGAGAGAGAATTTTTTAATATTTATTTTTTAGTTCTCGGCGGACACAACATCTTTGTTGGTATGTGGTGCTGAGGATCGAACCCGGGCCGCACGCATGCCAGGCGAGTGCGCTACCGCTTGAGCCACATCTCCAGCCCTCTTTTTTCCTTTTTAATGGAATAGAACATTCTTAAGCTCACACACTGGTGTCTTAATGGCCCCAAACATTGCATTTCAATCTTCTAGTGTAGAGACCATCAGAGAACATATGTGAACATAGTACATGCTGGGGGCACCTGGAGAAGTAGCCTCAGAGCCTGCTATCACATTAGGGTTTTAGAAACTATTTTGTTTTAGAAACTTGTACAATATAAACACTTTTAAGAGCATTAATTTTAAAATATTACCACTGAGTAAAATCAATGTGCCAAGAAGATATACCCTGTGTATATTAAGGCATATTGTCAGGTACCCCCACAGGTAGCATATGTCTTTATTAGACATTGAGTAGCTATGTGACCTTGGCAAGTTTTCAAACATTTCTGATAATTGGTATTCTTATTTGTAAAATGGACATAAGGACATCCCTTATGGGTTGTGTTTGGGAAGCAGTAGTGTATGTGAAATGGCACAGGACAGATATTAGGTACTGAGATAATAGTTATTGTCCTTATTTATGCTTAAAAGCATAAGTTTTATTTCAGAACAGTAGTTGTAAGCAAAGTGTGAGTGGTGGATCTACTTTAGCATTCTGAAAACTCTGCTGATCCATTAGAATCAGTGAAGGTTTATTAAAGGTCAGAAGTACAACCTGTGTCCTTAGGATAAACATCTACAGTTACCCAAATCAGGACAACTAGTTTTTATGTTACCCTGTTTTTTTTTGTTTTTTTTTTTAGTTGTTATTGTTATTATGTTGCAGAAGGACTAAAATGGGCAGGGATCAGGGGTTGAAGGAACTTAACCAAAGAAATAGTTCTTGCTCATTTGTGTGTTTTTTTCCTCTTAGCAACAAGTAAACATGCTATAATTTTCTAAGATCATATATTTTAGATTTAAAAATAATCTTACTGATGTATACCACTACATGAATGAACCTCTTAAATAGGCTAAGTGCAAGAAGCCAGTCACGAGACCACATATTGTATAGTTCCACTTATATATAAATGCTAAGAATAGATCAATCTGTAGTCAGAAAGTAGATAAGTGGTTGCCAGGAACCGGGAGTTATGGGGGCAGGGAAAAAAATGACTACAAATGAGCATGCGATTTCTTTTCTGGGGTGATGAAAATATTCAAAATTTAGATTATGGTAATGATTACTCAACTCCTAAAATACATTTAAAAACTTTGAACCTTGCACATTAATAGAGTATTCAGAATAAGGCAGCTTTCCATACTCTGTTAAATTCTGTAGAAAACATTTTACTTTTGGTACCCACGATACCAAGAGTTGCCTAAAAATGCCAAAATTAGGTTTTATTAATGACATAAAATGATTCAGATAATAAGAGGAAAAAACCCAGAATGGATTCTAATATTTGACATACTGTTCAAGAGCTCTAACTTTTGTTCCTGAATTGTTTCTAAAGACTTTCTAGGGACTTAACTTGGTTTGAAAGTTCACAGCCAACTTTCGGAAAACAAAACAAAATACATGGATTTTGCTGGGTGTGGTGGTATGTGCCTGTTGTCCAGCTACTTTGAGAGGCTGAGGTGGGAGGATCACATGTACTCAGAAGTTTGAGGGCAGCCTGGGCAACATAGTGAAACCCCATCTTAAGGGAAAAAACCCAACCAACCAACCAACCAACCAACCGTGTACTAGTCAGATACAAGTACTCCTGGGAATGGCTTGGTTTTGTGTTGTGTTACTCCAGCCCGCAGTGTGTTCCCTGCCTTGCTCTCCTAGTGCCCAGTAGCACTAACTCAGAAGGGCTGCTGTGAGATGCCTGTGGCGTTGGAGGCCTTTCTTCCTCCTGTTGCAGAGCATAGAATGTTTTCTTCCTTGTTTGTTGCTGCTTTTACCACCTCTGTGGCTCTTGCCTGCCCACCTTCCTCTCACCTTCTTTACTCTCTGTGCCCTGTTGTAAAGCTCACACCATAATGAAGCCAAACTCTACCCTGTTAAATTTAGACAAACAGCATTTGTTTCCTTGCATAGTCTTCTGATAGGTTCCTTAGTTTATTGCTTTTATTATCTAGATCTATAACTATTAATGCCCAAAGAAGGGTTTTGTTTTGTTTTTGAATTCAGTATTTTCTTGTTGATTTCTGGGTCTAAAAGCTTTCTAGAAAATTTCCTGAGGATTCCCTGAAGCTGTTTTTCTAGATAGCTGCAACTCATATGAAAGGTTTATATCTAATGGCAGAAGGTTGTTTCATTCTAGGCCCTGCAAAAGTCCCTCAGTAATAGTGGTGTTTCTTCCTCTGTTTATTAGCATGAGTCTGCGCTGCCCTGGGATGACCACAGACCACGTGTCACCTGGCGTGGAGATGGGCAGTTTTTTGCTGTGAGTGTTGTTTGCCCAGAAACAGGTATGGAAATAAATTCAATTAAACAACATTTTTTTAAAACTGTATTTAGATTATAGAAATTTGTCTTCCTTTTCCTTTAGTCTTACAGAAGAGATAAAAATATGCTGCTATAGGTGTTAAATGAATTTAGAGTTAAGAATTAGAAGAGTCCTCTGTGGCCTTCTTGGCCAGCCTCCTACCTGTTAGATAAAAAATTTTAATAAGATTAACCTAATTTACTTTATAAAACCACAACAGCTTAATTTATAAGAAAGTGAAAAGTTGTGACTTGTCAGCGTTGTCTTCATGTTTTAAGTGTGTTTGACTCCACTTCCTTCCCGCACAGGGGCGCGCAAGGTCAGAGTGTGGAACCGAGAGTTTGCTTTGCAGTCAACCAGTGAGCCTGTGGCAGGACTGGGACCAGCTTTGGCCTGGAAGTGAGTGGGAGAAGAAACCTCGGGACTTTTTCTTAGAGATTTTCTTAGAAACATAGGCTTGGTGATGCCACTGAGTGTTGTTTCTGTGACATAGAAGGATATTTGCCTTTTGTTCATTTACCTGTAAACCTCTATCTAGTTTTCTTCTTTTCTTTTCTTCCATTAAGTCCAATTTTCTTTTTGTTTTTGTTTCTGTAGTACTGAGGATTGAACCCAGGAGTACTCCACTACTGAGCAAAATCCACAGCCCTCTTTTATTTTTTATTTTGGGACAGGGTCTCGCTAAGGTTCCAAGACTGGCCTTAAACTTGCAATCCTTCTGTCTCAGCTTCTCAAATAGCTGGAATTATAGGCTTGCACCTTGCCTGGCTTTGAATCTGATATGATTGATAGATTCTGGCCTCTTCACAGGTTTCATCACTCGAAAGCCCCATGCATTTTGCCTTCCTACTTCCTAAAAGGTTATGGTTAGGGCCTCTGTGAAGCCATTGTAGAAAACAAAATTGGGCCTAGAAGAGAAGTCCTGCTTGGTTCTGTGGGGCAAATGGAGCTTTTATGAAAACTAGGAAGAGAGCTCCTTGGTGCAGATTCCTACAGCAAGGGATCTTTTTGCTGAAAAACTTGCAGGCTGGGTCTGGGCTCCTTCCTTCTGTTTACTTCCTCGGACCAGTGCTGTTGTGCACATCACTTCTTGCTTGTCCTATGCAGCTGCATGTAAATTGTAGGTAAAAGAAATACTGCATCTCTCAGGACATTCTGTTACTGCAAAACCGCTAGATCTTTGGGTTTCAGACATCATGTTTTTTTAGTCAATATCTGAGTGGTGTTGGATAATAGAGCAAGAGAGAAGTGTTGTTGAATTAAAACAAATGTGAATAAGACAAGGGGTGTTTTTGGTTTGTAAGTCTTAAGAAATACCTGCCTAAGCACAGAATATTTACTGACGTCATCATTGAAGGAGAAAATAGATGACAGTTTTTAGGACAGTATACTTGGAGTGGTTTAGAAAATTTACTGGTTATTAAGAATGTCATCTAAGTGCAATTTAAATCTGTAAAGCTTGGAGGCAGATGGAGCCTTTGAGCAAATGAGGAAGAGGTATCCTTTCCCTGGGCAGGTGCAGCCCCACACTGGAGTAACTCACTTGCAAAGAGACAAGAGACACAAGGGATTTAACATATGAGGATTTTTGTTGATTGATTTTTACTGAAAAAATTCTCTTGTCTGAAGTCATCTTGTTTTGAGCCTGCTGGCTGAGCTTGGATATGCTGACACTTGGATTTGGTTTAAGACCCTCAGGTAGTTTGATTGCATCTACACAAGATAAACCCAACCAGCAGGATGTTGTGTTTTTTGAGAAAAATGGACTTCTTCATGGACATTTTACACTTCCTTTCTTCAAAGATGAGGTCAAGGTAGGTGTCAGTTGTTTCCAATTAAATTTAGAGGACTCTCCTCAGCTGTCGAGGAGCTTATATTTGATTGGAGTGTATAAACGGAAGCTCCATCCAGAGTAGATAGGAATAGAAGCAGTGGTTTCTGTGACTGATTTGTTTTGTTTTGTTTAAATGAAAGAGAGATTGTTTTTCCAAGGAGACTTTGCAAAAAAGAAGAGCATTTCTGCTCCTATATAAAACACAGAAAGGAAATAGAAATGCTGTTTTTTATTTTTGATAAAACCATAATTTTTCCAGTAATCATTTGTAACATTTAAACCTTAAGCAGTTTGTATGCTAGTAAAATCCTGTTAAAGCAGAAACACATCAAATGGTAATCTTTAATTATGTAAAGTTTTAAACATTAAGAATATTTTTCATTACATAACCATAATTCCACAATTAACATTTTATCTTTAAGCATAATGCATTTATTTTTAAGTCCTTTATATCTAATGACATCTCACAGATTTGTTTAAGCACTCTGTAGTGTTGGTTGATAATTTACAGCTGGGGATTAGTTCAAGTAGTATGGGATGAGTTGGTGTGTGAGAGCAGGGAATTTAGCTGTTGGAAAGATTTTGAGGTAAATGTGTAGCTAAAGGCCAGTGACCTTTTTTTCCTTACTAGGTAAATGACTTACTCTGGAATGCAGACTCCTCTGTGCTTGCTGTTTGGCTAGAAGACCTTCAGAGAGAAGAACATTCTGCTTTGAAAACCTATGGTAGGACAGTTGGTGTATCTTGGCTTATGTTTCATAAAATGTAGTTGAAAGTAGAGGGTGTGAATTTTCCTTCATCCCTTCTGTTTGGTCCCTTAGTGGGATCAAAAAAGCTAAAGTAATAAGAGATAGGGGAGAGGTTGGGTTTTAATCCTAGGGATTTCACTGGTGTATCAGTTGGGGTTCTCTAGAGAAACAAACAATAGGAGAGGGGTGGAGTGTGGAAAACAGAGAGAGATAGGTGGGTTTATTGTAAGGAATTGGCTCATGCACTAGGAAGGGGATAGCAAGTTTGAAATTTGTAGAGGAGCCTGACAGCCTAAAAACTCAGGTAGGGTTTCTGTGTTATCATGTTATGGCAGAATTCCTTTTCTGGGAAACCTCAGTCTTTGCTTTTAAAAAAAGTCTTCAACTCATTGAATGAGCCATCCATATTGTTGTGGGAAATCTGCTTTATTTAAAGTTAACTGCTTGTAAATGTTATTCAGATCTACAAAATAACCTTTTCAGCAACATCTAGACCACTATTCAATCAGGGCGCCATAGCCAAGGTGACATATAAATCATCAGGGCTTTCTCAAGTGGCATTGCTGCAGACAGTCAAAACACTAACCAAGCCTGGCACAGTGTGCACACCTGTAATCCCAGTGATTCTGGAGGCTGAGGCAGGAGGATTGCAAGTTTGAGACCATCTTGGGCAACTTAGCAAGACTCTGTGTCAAACAGTAAAAAGGTCTGGGGATATGGCTCAGTGATAGAGCACCCTTGGGTTCAATCCCTAGTACTGCAAAAAAAAAAAAAAAAAAAAAAAAAACCCAAACAACAAAACAAGAATGAAACACTAACCAAAGGAACATATCGGATTGAAAGGATTTAGATTGGATATAAGTAATGATCTTTTTTAGAATTTTAAAATATGTGTTTTTAAACATTAAATAATATATAAGAACATTAGAAAATAAAGATGCGGAAGAAAATCCTCTAATACTGAGTAATGAGCACTATTAAAATTTTCTTGTTCTCTAGATTTCTTTGCCTGAGTATCTCAGTAGAGCTATGATTTTATTTTTGTTAAAAGTATAAATATCATGCATGCCATTTTATGACTAGTTTGGATAATGTATCACAAGCTTGTTTCCATTGCTGGTGTAGATTTGCATGGTTTTAAATTTCTGTATAGTATTTTGTGCCAGTTATTAAATTGCTTGTTGTTAGACGTTTAGTTTAATTTCTCATTATTGTGAACAGCAAGATATTGAAATGTTTTTATTAATCTTTTTGCCTAAGTATTTTTAAGCTTTTTAGTAAGTAGAACTTTTTAATTATTTTTTTATTTATATATGATAGCGGAATTACAATTCTTATTACACATATAGAGCACAATTTTCCATATCTTTGGTTGTATACAAAGTATATTCATACCAAAGTATATTCATGTCTTTATTCATGTACTTTGGATAATAATGTCCATCACATTCCACTAGCATTTCTAACCCTATACTTCCTTCCTTCCCCTCCCACCCATCTGCCCTATCTAGAGTTTGTCTGTTCTTCCCATGCTCCCCTTTTCTACCCCACTATGAATCAGCCTCCTTATTTCAGAGAAAACATTTGGCATTTGGCTTTCTGGGATTGGCTAACTTCACTTAGCATTATCTTTTCAAACTCCATCCGTTTACCTGCAAATGCCATGATTTTATTCTCTTTTATTGCTGAGTAATATTTCATTGTGTATATATGCCACATATTTTTTAATCCATTCATCTACTGAAGGGCATCTAGGTTGGCTCCACAGTTTAGCTATTGTGAATTGTGCTGCTATAAACATTGATGTGGCTGTGTCCCCTGTAGCATGCTGTTTTTAAGTCGTTTGGGTATAGATCAAGGAGAGGGATAGCTGGGTCAAATGGTGGTTCCATTCCCAGATTTCCAAGGAATCTCTATACTGCTTTCCAGATTGGCTGCACCAATTTGCAGTCCCATCAGCAATGTATGAGTGTGCCTTTCCCCCACATCCTCGCCAACACTTACTGTTGTTTTGTCTTCATAATAGCTGCCATTCTGACTGGAGTGAGATGAAATCTTAGAGTAGTTTTGCATTTCTCTAATTGTTAGCAATGATGAACATTTTCCCATATATATATGTTGATTGAGTGTATATCATATTCTTAGAAATGTCTGTTCAGGTCCTTTGCCCATTTATCCATTGGGTTATTTATTTTTTTTGGTGCTCAGCTCTTTGAGTACTTTATATACCTTAGAGATTAGTGCTCTATCTAATGTGTGTGGGGTAAAGATTTGCTCCCAAGATGTAGGCTCTCTGTTCACCTCACAGATTGTTTCTTTTGCTGAGAAGAAACTTTTTAGTTTGATTCCATCCCATTTATTGATTTTTGATTTTAATTCTTACACCAAAGGAGTCTTATTAAGGAAGTTGGGGCCTAATCCCACAAGATAGAGATTAGGGCCTACTTTTTCTTCTATTAGATGCAGGGTCTCTGGTTTTATTCCTAGATTCTTCATCCATTTTGAGTTGAGTTTTGTGCATGGTGAGAGAGAGGAGTTTAATTTCACTTTGTTGCATATGGATTTCCAGTTTTCCCAGCACCATTTGTTGAAGAGGTTGTCTTTTCTCCAATGCATGTTTTTGGCGCCTTTGTCTAATATAAGATAATTGTAAGTAGAACTTTTTAAACTGAAATGTCATTAGGAAATTCATTTATTTATTCAATAATTCACTTATCATTCAACAAGTAGTTCTCAATCTTGATGGCACATTTTGAAAAAAAAATGACATCCAGTTGTCATTTCAGAATTGGATTTGGTGCACTGGGATAGGGACTCTATCTCAGTAATTAATTAATTAATTCTTTCCTTTTGGCACTGTAAAACAAGGCCTTGAAAAATGAAAAATAAAGACAAACTTTCAAGTGATTTTTAACACAGTCACTATAGTTAAGAACCACTGATTAACCAGGTTAGCAGTGAACAGCATTATGTTGTGCTCAGGATAAAAATGTTGCATGGGAAAAGCTACATTTGTCATCATGGAGCATGAACCTGTGATCTGATTTGCTAACTCATGGCTCTGTGGAGGTCTTGTAGTGGAATGATTAGAGAGCTGGGTTCTATATGCTGGTATCACAAAGTTAAGAATTAGTGAGCAGGCAGGTTAAGAAAATACATTTCTTAATCTAATGAAGATTTTAATTTGTATGCTTCATCTTTTAGTAAAGGTGTTAGTTTGGGCATGATCTGTACTTTTAATACCTGTTAGAAAATGATAATTTCGAGCATGCTCGTCTTCTTTGGGCAGCTAAATCATTGTTAAAAACAGTCTGGGACACAATTGCAGCAAACACTGATAAGAAAATAATCATCTAAAGACTAATTCAACACAGTGATGCTAGTCCAGACCTTAGGTTGGATATTTTAGTTAGTATTGTTATATGCCACATAATGGGCATTTCCATCAAGGATGGGCCACATATTCAGCAGTGGTCCCATGAGAGTGTATCACTCAGGGACACTATAACCATCTTATTTTTTAACTGTACTTTCTGATGCTGTGCATCAGTGACATTTCCTTATGGTGCATTTCTCAGAATATATCCCTATTGTTAAGTGACGCATGACTGTACTTTTATGATTCCAGATTATCTTTTTCTCAACTCTTCATGGAGAACACTTACTAAAACACTGCCTTGTTCTAGTAGCCTTCTTTCCTGATCTTGGAGTTTGAAGATAGAGGTGTATTAAAATAGAATGTGTACTTCTTATCTTTTTTTTTTTTTTTTGTACTTCTGATTTTATTAATGCTTGACAATTTCTCCATCAATAACTGTCTTTTAACAATTATTAAAGTATTATTTTAATGAAGAGACTGAGCAGGGAGGATTATTTAAAGAAGAAAAAAAAACCAGACTTACATGAGTCTGGTTCCCTGTCTAAAAGCCTTTCTTTCGTTTTCCTTTGCAGTTCAGCTCTGGACCGTTGGAAACTATCACTGGTATCTCAAACAGAGTCTGCCCTTCAGCACCAGTGGGAAGAGTAAGATCGTGTCTCTTATGTGGGACCCGGTGACTCCATACCGGCTGCATGTTCTCTGTCAGGGCTGGCATTACCTCTGCTATGACTGGCACTGGACCACTGACCGGAGCTCAGGAGATAATTCAAGTGACCTGGCAAATGTGGCTGTCATTGATGGAAGTAAGCTGTTGGGAAGTGTGGCCATGAGTCTGCAGGGGATCCCAGGCCCTGCAGATGTGGTGGCTTGACCAGAATTGTAGAGAATTTTTTGTTTGGGTTGTCTGCTTTTTATTTACTCATTTGTCTGTTTGAATGCCATTTGGTGGGGTATGTGCTCTCTTGAGAACTGTAGTTCCCCTCTCCCAACCCCTTCCCTCTTGTTCTGTATACCTGGCTTTCATAGTTGATTTGTTTGGCTTTTGAAGACTTTGCAAATTTTGACCTTTGTAGAAAAGATAACAGAGTCTTGTGGGAGTGGCTGTGTTAGTTGTGTCTTGTCTGCCCTGACAAAGACTCAATGTTGACTCTGGCTCCCCTTGACCTATGTTGCTTTGTTTCCTGACATAAACATCTGCAAATTATATCCCTTTTCTTTCAGTTTAGGTCATAGACATCTGTCTAGTATGAGGATGAGATTAGTATTTTATAATTAATTAGGTGGAGAGGATTTTGGGGTAACTGAATTGATGAGTCACATAGTTGATAGTTTACTTATTGTTGATGTCATACAGGCACTCTTGCTTATAAGATGGTAACCTGAGTTGGTATATAATTCATGTTCTATGTAGTGGTCTAATATTGATTTTATAATCATGTATTCTGTTTATTGAGAACACATGGTTTCTTAATCAGTTCTTAGTTCTACTTTATCATCAAATACACGCATAGGAAAATACATCAAAGATTTTGAAGCTGTTGGTTTGGGCTGGCTTAGCTACAGGCCCAGATAAGAGGTTTAAAGCCAAAACTCTGATATATCAGCCTTTTTGCCTTAGTTTCTGATATCTGAAACTTCCAGGTTCAGAGATGGACTATTGTAGGCCTGGAGGTGAAAATAACCAGATACAGACAGAGCTTGTGACACTTACCCTCACCCCCATGATGTTTTTAAACTTATTCATGAAAGAAACACCAAAAGTTGTTTTCAAGAATTGCTGTTTTTTTTTCTGCCACCATTATTTCTTAGAGGTATAGTTATGTTCAGATGCTTTGTTTTCAGAATGACTATCTCACGTCTAATCTTTTTCTTTGTTTTTCATGTGTAGACAGGGTATTGGTGACAGTCTTCCGGCAGACTGTAATTCCACCTCCCATGTGCACCTACCGACTGCTGCTTCCTCACCCAGCGAATCAAGTCATGTTCTTTGCACACCCTACAAAGAGTAACGACCTTGCTGTTCTAGATGCCAGTAACCAGATTTCTGTTTATAAATGTGGTATGTTAAAAGACTGTTCCCAGAATATTCTGAATCAAGTGCCCCCTACACCTGCACGAAATTCTAATTAGATGTTTCAGAAAATTTTGAAGTTATTTCATCATTATTATGAAATTTAATTGGCTTGTGTTTTGTTATTTTTTCCTAAATTCTACTTTAGTTTATGAGAGCATTTCCTTTGCCTTACTGACTTGAAGAGTCAGTTAAGAATAATCTCCAACTCTGGGAATAACATAGTGTCTTATTACATCTTTAACATGCTTTAGTGTTTTTGGTGACTGTGCATACATCTCCAAGGAACTGTGTCACAGATGGTGCTAGTGCCAGAGGGTTTGCAGTTACTTGAGCAAGAACGGGCAGGGACCTTAGTGCATGTGTTCCAGCTTCTACTCCAGTTGTCTTTCCACAGTTCTGCTGCGTCAGTTCCTTGTTTTCCTGACGTATTGGAAAACCTGAAATTTTGTTTTTATCTGTGAGTTCTGTGGTAGTGTCAGAGTAAATGGGCATACAGTAGTGGTAGCCTTGTTTGCAGTATCTTCTAGATTATCAGCTACGAAAAGCCTAGATAGCTGCTGAAGAGAATAATAAAAACTGATTAATTCATTCTGAAGGTAGGAAACCTTCAGTTCAGCTTTCCTGTTAAATCAACAGCTTGCTGTTTATATAAATCCTATTTGAATGTATCAGTTCCTCTGATTTTAGTTTTACTCTGTAAAATGCTATTATGGTTCCTCTTTAGTGCTTTAAATATCTTTTATAAAATAATGTAAGTGTGTTCATTATCAAGGCCATATGATCTGTTGGGTGGCAAGTGCTATGGAGAAAAATTAAGCAAGATGTGATATAGGGAGGGCTTGAGTTAGGGGCTTGTTGGAGGAAGGGAGCTTTTGTTTTTAGGGTGAGCAGGGAAGTCCTCTCTGTGAAGGCGACATGGTAAGAATCAGAGTGGGAACCATGCAAACCTGTGGAGTGAGAGCATCCCAGGCCAAGTGAGAGCAACTGTGATGACTCCTGCTGTGTGGGAACTAGCCCGGAGGTCCAAGGGACTGCGGCAGAGCCAAGGAGGCATAGAGTGATGGCAGCAGCTCTCGCAGATCGTTAAAGGCTTTTGCTCTGAGTTGTAGGGGTTGGAACAGAGGATGCAATGTCCTGACTGGGTTTTTTAAGGATTGTATTGGCTGCTGTGTGGTGAATAAACTGGGTCAAGAATGGAAAAATCGTGGGGGTTGTGGCTCAGTGGTAGAGCGCTCGCCTAGCATATGTGAGGCACTAAGGTCCATCAATAGCTAATAAAAACATTAAAAAAAAAAAAAAGAATGAAAAAATGTCTACCTGGTCTTGCTGAGATGTGGCCTTCATTGGTGAAGATCATGTCTGACATGGTATTATGGGACAGCAGGTTTTGGGTAAACCTGAAGGAGTTTAAGAAAAAGAGGTTGGAATGTAATTATTTTCTAGTTTAATTTATTTGCCTTATAGAACTCAATAACTGTGAGAATCTATTCCAGTACTATTAGGAGAAATATTTATAGTTTACAAATGATAATGTTTGTAATTTTGTTTCCTAGGTGATAGTCCAAGTGTGGACCCCACAGTGAAACTAGGAGCTGTGGGTGGAAATGGATTTAAAGTTGCCCTTAGAACACCTCATCTGGAAAAGAGATACACGTAGGTTCTTAATTATCTTGGGCCTCTGGGGAACAGAATCAGGGAGCATTTTGTCTTAAATGTAGCCTAGTATTATTTACTGCCTGTTGCTCATTGGAACAAGAGTAGATGGAATAGCCAGCCTCTGGTTTTTCAGGCCAGTTGGAGGGGATCGTCACTTTATTTATTTGAGTGCATTACATTTCAATGGATGGCAAGCAATGGGAATCATAAGCTGGCCCAGAGCTCACTCCTTACAACAGCCCTTGGTTTTCCAGGGAAAAATCACATAGGAAAGATGAAGGTGAAGATAATAAGGCACATTTACATTTTCCTGTTGACAGATGGATGACCCAGTGCAGTTCTCTCTTTGCCTCATCCCAGACTCCTGAACTTCTGGGTATTGTATTTTGAGGCTCTCAGGGTTAAATCAGAATGTATTTTCCTACTGAAACAGTATTAAAAACAACTGGGCATGATTGAGTACCTTACGTCCAGTATAGGATTTACAAAATGACCCAAAAGCCAAATGATAATATCACTTCTATGAGAAAACCTTTTTTGAAAAACATTTTGTATGGTGAGTACTTACAGATAAGAAGACGAAGTTAGAGGATAGGTAATTGTCCAAGATCATAGATCTGATAATTGGAGAATCCAGGATTTAATTTTGTTCTATTTGATAAGTCCAGTGTTCTTCATTACTGACCTAGTCTGTCTCTTGGTAGTATCTGTTACTAAATAAACCAAAAATTTAGCATAGTAAATAATAGAATGTAATAAATAACAGGTTTTATAAACATCCATTGAACTTAATAGGTATAAGTAATTTTTTTTCCTGGTTGTACACAAAGTATATGCACACCATTCTTCATACATGTACCATTCTTCATACATGTCTTCATACATGTACTTAGGGTAATGATGTCCATCTCATTCCACTGTCTTTCCTAACCCCATACCCCCTCCCTTCCCCTCCCATCCCTTTGCCCTATCTAGAGTTTGTCTAATCCTCCCTTGCTCCATCTCCCAACCCCACTATGAATCAGCCTCCTTATATTGGAGAAAACATTTGGCATTTGGTATTTTGGGATTTGCTAACTTCACTTAGCATTATATTCTCCAACTTCATCCATTTGCCTGCAAATGCCATGATTTTATTCAGCTATCCCACTTCTCAGTATACGCAAAGGACTTAAAAACAGCAGGGACACAGCCATTTGCAGCACTATTCACAATAGCTAAACTGTGGAATCAACCTAGATGCCCTTTAGTAGATGAATGGATAAAAAAAATGCAGCATATATACATAATGGAATATTACTCAGCAATAAAAGAATAAAATGGCATTTGCAAGTAAATGCTTAGTCATTTTTAAAGAACATTTACACACTTATTTTACTTTATAGTGTGTTTTCATTATTGTAACAGAAACCTGAGCTAATTCAACTTGAAAAAGGAAAGATTTATTTTGGCTCACAGTTTTGTAGGTTTCAATCCATGACCAATTGGCTTTCTTGCTTTGAGTTTATGGCAGCTCATAATATCATGACAATAGAGTGTGGTAGAAGAGGCTTGACCACTTAATGGCTGGGTATAAAAAAAAGAAGAGACCAGGGTCCAAGAGTTCTGAGAGCATGTCCTCAATGACCAAAAATCTCCCACTAGGTCCCACTTCTTAAATGTTCCACCACTTCCCAAGTGTCACTCCCTGGGAACCAGGCCTTTAACACATGGGCCTTTGAAGATCATTCTAGATCCCAGTGTTAGCACAGAGAGCTGAAACTACCTGAGGATAGAGATGTAAGGAAAATTAGAAAGGGTGAGACAGTTGAGAAAACAGTTTTATTAAAAAAATAATAATAATTAGGTGGATAACAGCCAAGGCATTCAGAAAAGGGTTCATGAAGAACATGAATTCGTATCTCAATCCTGGAGGAATGGTTTGGTTTGGGGTTGGCAAAGGACTGGGAGAGTGTCAGTGAGAATCAGAGAGTGATCTTGTATAGAGAGAACGCCTAAGCTGAATGCAGTGGAGAGACAGAGTCCAGGAAGAGCTGGTTGAAGAGGAAGATCACCATAGCAACCAGCCTCTTAAGTGAGAGCTGAGAGTTGCCACGACCTAAACAGCTGGATGTAGCTTTTATGGATTCCTATGAGAAGTGGCAAAGACAGAGTCCTGGTCAGCTTTATAGGTATGAGAGGCAGGGAAACCATCTCCCAAGCTAATAAGTCATTTTGACATGAGATGCTTAGAAAAATACTATTCGGTGGAGACCCAGGTATCATCTGCTGGTGTCTTTGAATGCTGGGAAGTGGGACAGCCCTGGGACTCATTAGTATAACACTGGGACAGTTAGTATTCTTATACAGCCAGTTTCTTAAAGTGTTCTCTTCGAATCTAATTTAGAATAAATGCAAACCCAGATTCTTAAGCCAGACATATTATTTTTGGATTTTCTATTTGGTATTAGCTCAGGTTTTGTTCCTCCAAATAATTAGGACTTGCCTATATATGAGATGGTTCATTCAGGAAAGATTTAAAGTTAGTTTTATTCATGTCTTGGATATTCTTCAATGTTTGAACCAGAATTCAGTTTGAGAATAGTGAAGACCAAGAAGTAAACCCACTGAAGTTCAGCCTTCTCACCTGGATTGAAGAAGACATTTTCCTGGCCATAAGTCATAGTCAGTCCAGCTCACAATCTGTCATTCACCATTTGACTATGGTCCCTTCTGAGATGGATGAGGAGCAAGGACAGCTCAATGTCAGGTATTGCAGTACTTCCTGTGTTTCATACATTAAATAAGCAAATGCAGTTATGCTTTTGTCTTTTATGAAGGTACATCTCTTTTTAACTTCTAGTGAGCAAGGCTGAGAAGCAATAGCTTTCTTGTTAGATTTAGTGAGTGGGTTAAGTCTTGGCTTAGGGTATAAGCTTAGTGGTAGCATTCTTGTCTAGCATATGTGAGTTTCTAAGCTTAATCCCCAGCACTAAATAAATAAATAAATAGGAATAAGTCAAGTTTTGAGTCATGTCAAAAAAAAAAAAGATTAATAGATATATCAGAAACATGGGCTGGGGTTAGCTCAGTGGTAGAGCACTTGCCTCGCATGCATGAGGCCCTGGGTCCAATCCTCCCGCCACATAAAAATAAATAAATAAAAATAAAGATATTGTGTCCATCTACAACTGAAAAAATGTTTTAAAATATATCAGAAGCAGTGAAAAGTAGGACAACTACCAATAAATAAGGAAGTGGTAACTTTATAATGTAGACAATTAGGTGATTGGTTTTATGGAAAATAGAGCTAAGTAACAAGTAACTGCTTTATCTAGGTTTAGACTTAGAATAGTTTATTTCGCATCTCTCTGTTTCCATAAATGTATGTGTGTATGTGTATGTTGTATTGAATCAGTGCAGCATCAAAGGGCTTATTTAAATATGCAATGCTTATTTCTCTTTCTGATTTGCAAAATCAGTAAGATGTCAGTACTTTTGAGAATAATGGCTGTTTATCCCTCTAAACTCCCCCCCCCCTTTTTTTTTTAACCTTCTTCAGTTCTTCTGTGACAGTGGATGGGATCATAATCAGTATGTGTTGCAGTCCCAAGACTAAATCAGTAGCAGTGCAGCTGGTTGATGGCCAGATACTGAAGTACCTTTGGGGTGAGTATCAAAGTTTTAGGAAAGTATGTTTATGACTTATGTAAATTTTCAGTTTCTGAGAACATGTACTTGGGAGTAGATTGTCAGTATAATGTTGTTGTTAGGGTTTCTTTTTTTCCCCTTGCATTATTGTGGATTGAACCCAGAGCTTCACACATACTAGGCAAATGCTCTACCTCTGAGCGACATCCCTCAACTCAATTGTTAGAGGTCTTTTAACTACCCTGGAAAACTTTTAAGCTGCAGACCAGAAGTGGCAGGTGTATTCTATTACTGTTTTCTCTTGTAATGAACATAATATCCTAATGATATCCCAAATACAACATGTTTGGTGGTGGTATTTTTTTTTTTTTATTGTTGTTGTTTTAAGAGTAGTAAGTGATTATAAACCAAACCTGCCAATCTTATAGAGTCACCTTCTCTGACTGTTGAACCATGGAAGAACCCTGGTGGATTTCCTGTTCAGTTTCCTTATCCATGTACACAGATAGAATTGGCCATGATAGGAGGAGAGGTAAGTGAACATAGGGTGGGAATATTTACCACTTAAAAAAGTTATTCAGAGACAAATGTGGACTTTGGAGTTAGACATGCGTCTCCTAAATCCCAGGTCATCATTGGGAAGTTAACTTCCTTTCCCAAGTCACACCTCTTTCATCAATGAAAAGGGAAAAATCAATGTCTTTCAGGGGCCTGGGGAGAATTAAATGAGATAATGTATGTAATTTGCAAATTTTATCCTTAGTTTACAGAATATTCAAAGTTATTTTATTAAATATCTCTTGAGGAAAGCACAAATGCAGTCTCAAAATTAGTCTTAAGTAGGTTGTCATTCAACAAATATTAGTCTGTATATATATACTAGAATGTCTGTAATTGGGGTGAATGGAAGGTTATACTGATTACAAAATGAGACAACTGAGTTAATCCCTGCTCTGGTGCATGTGCTGAGATGTAAAGAAAGCTCTGCTTAGAAACAAAGAGTTTCAGGGAGAAGGAAATAGAGATACCCTGAGCTTGGTAAGATCTTGGCTGGAGCTGAGGGAGACTCCATTGGAAAGAGTTTGGATTTTTTCAATAAAGGTTAGAAACTTATTCATGATTTTTAATCCCAGAATAATATGTTCTGCTTCATGGATGATTTTGGCTTCCTAGAAGAGTAGGTGGGAAGGATGAGATGGAATGGGGAATCAACACAGAGACTATTGGAGTGGAGTCCGTGGGAGGAGAAAGGACATGTATTTGAGGTAGAGGAGACGTGGCTGCTGATGGCAGGATGGCATTGTACTCCATTTTTCATTGGACATTCATGTCTCACATACATTTAGCCCTGATTACAAAGACATAGATATAGAATCATAGTGCAGTAAAACTATGTAGTAAAGAAGTTAGGCTTAATGAGTTTGAAATAAACTTGCTTATTTCAACTTTATTTCTTTGCAGGAATGTGTCCTTGGTCTGACTGATCGGTGTCGCTTTTTCATCAATGACACTGAGGTATCAAGGCTTGATTTGGTGCTGGATCCTCTTCCTAGTGTTGGCTCCAAGAACTAAAGCTAGCTTTTTCCCTTGCCTCATTGCAGGTTGCATCAAATATCACATCATTTGCAGTATATGATGATTTTTTATTGTTGACAACCCATTCCCATACATGCCAGTGTTTTCCCCTGAGGGATGCTTCACTTAAAAGTAAGTTTTTAGTGTATGAAATGGGTATGTCATTTAGTGTATGACAGCCCCTTTTCCAGTATCTTTTTGTTTTTTGGAGTCTTGATCACTTTTAAATTCTTCACTTACTTTAGTTTTTTATCATGGAGTCCTAGACTAGAGGGGTGTGTGTGTGTGTGTGTGTGTGTGTGTGTGTGTGTGTGTGTGTGTGTGTTTTCCTTATTTGAAAAGTTGGTTTATTTTCTTTGCTACTAGCAAACTGGGACTTCCTTCCACTGATGGTGCTTAGACTATAGTAGTAATGCTAAAAAATAGAAAGGCTGTCCCAGTCACCCTGCATTTTTCCAAATTATTTGAGAAGTTATATATGTGAATATATATGATGATTCTGGGTGAGGGTGGGCCACCACAGAATGAGATTGTTTATAAAAGGGCTGATGAACTTGGAGTTGAATGAGAGAGCAGAGGAACATGGTTAATTACTCTTAGATAACATGTGCAGATTCAAGTGCAATTGATACAAAGTGGCTTGTTAGGAGAATTTTTTTAAGGCCAGTGCTGTTTTTAGCATTACAGGCAGGTCTGTGCAGTAATCACACATCTAATGGGGAAGTTCTACGGAAGGTGGAGAGGGGTTCACGGATTGTCACAGTTGTGCCCCAGGACACAAAGCTTATATTACAGGTAAGCTGATGTTTTAGGTTTGCTGATTCTCCTTTAGTCAGTACCAAACTAGTCTTGCAGATTGTATTTTTGGCTCTCTTATCATTTTTAATCATTTATCATAAACCTTTCTGGCTAGGTTGTCTGTAACTTTATACAAAAAAGTGTTAAAGCTGGGCGCAGTGGCGCACACATGTAATCCCAGCAGCTCTCCAGGCTGAGGCAGGAATATCGCAAATTCAAAGTCAGTCTCAGCAAAAGTGAGGCACTAAGCCACTCAGTGAGACCCTGTCTCTAAATAAAATACAAAATAGGCCTGGGAATGTGACTCAGTGGCTGAGTGCCCCTGAGTAATTCCCCCCCTGGTAATCCCCCTCCCTCCCCAAAAAAAGAGAGTGTAAATACAGGTTCTGACCAGAAAGGCTCAAAGGGAAGCTTTCCCCCTAAATCAAGATACATATTGAGCACAACTAGAATCTACCACTAGCATTCTTATTTTATAGAATTATAGTAGTTTTTTTTTTTTTTGAAGAATAGGTAAAATTGGCAATTTAAATGTTTTCTACTTCATTAAATTCATAATGCTGTTTGTTTTAATTTGTTTATTTTAAGATGCCAAGGGGAAACTTAGAAGTTGTTCATCATCGAGCCCTTGTTTTAACTCAGATTCGGAAGTGGCTGGACAAGTAAGTGCCATGTGTTTGACTAGTTAGCTCCTCGTACATTGTGTGTAGACAACAAGTACTTTAAATTTAGGTGTATGGGAAACTTTCACTATCGATATCTTCAGTCAGATTTCTCAAGCTTTTGTGTTTTTTTCCCCCTACATTTTTTTTTTTTTAACTTTCAGATTTTAATAGATATTTAGCAGAAGGATCATGAAGTTTATCACACAAAGGGGCTCCTCCTAACTCCAGGGGATGTCTGGGCTTAACCATGGGTGTAGGTGGCTTGTAAACCCCGGGAAATTGTGCACCAGATGTCCATATGTGTTCATCCAGGTAGAAAGCCAAAGCTCTCTACAGGGTTACAGTTGGGCCACTGATCCAGAAAGCCTGAGTCACTGTCATGAAGGAAATGATGGAATTTCTGAATCTGTTTGGAGCAAATTTTGTATTTTGAAAGTTTATATTATATTAATCTTTTGTTAAAATAGTAGATCTCAGTTCTCTGATGATTTTCTGCAGTATGTAGGGGCATTACAGGTCCTTAAGAGTGTCATGACGACTCAGTCACACCTTTAAGAAGACAAATAATCTGGTACCTCATTTTTTGTTTTTCTTTTTTTTTTTAAAGAGAGAGAGAGAATTTTAATATTTATTTTTTAGTTTTCGGCAGACACAACATCTTTGTTTGTATTTGGTGCTGAGGATCAAACCCAGGCTTCATGCATGCCAGGCGAGCACGCTACTGCTTGAGCCACATCCCCAGCCCTCATTTTTTCATTCTGTAATTTCAGAGTACAAATCAACTAGTAGTTGTTTTTGACAATTAGGCCATAATCTCATTATAATTGGTTTAAATAAAAATTTCTGTGAAATACCCTATCCATTTTCTGTATCCTTACAGACTTATGTTCAAAGAAGCATTTGAATGCATGAGAAAACTAAGAATTAATCTCAACCTGATTCATGATCATAACCCCAAGGTAACTCTAAATCTGACCTTGACCCTGGCTTACTTAATTACTTTTACTAATGTGATCTGAACTAAAATATTGTCCATTTTTTTTGGTAGGTGTTTCTTGAAAACGTGGAAACCTTCATAAGACAGATAGATTCTGTAAATCATATAAATTTGTTTTTCACAGAATTGAAGTAAGTATTTTGACAATTCCCAAGTATCATTTCCATAACTTTTTTCTTGTTAATGAAATCAAACAAATAGAGAAGAAAAAGATTGTTGAGTTTTCAAAATTTCCCATGACTCTTAGATGCCAGTAAGTTTTTTTTGTTGTTTTAAGAACAGCCTACTTAAGGCTATGAGACTTGATAAGCTGTCATTCAGAATTATTTGACTGGATTTGTAGGTCTACATATAAAACTGTTTATTCTTAGGAGATTAAAATCAAATGTTGTATTTCTCTGCAATGACCTTTTTTGTAAGATCTTAATGAAATAATTTAAACATGGAAAAACTGAAAGAGTTGTCTAGAAAGTGTCCTGTACCATCACTCAGATTGTCCAGTTTATATTTTCCTGTATGTGCTTTATCTATAATCTGCCCATTTATTATTCATCTTGTTTTGGACACATATCAGACTTTAGACATCAGTTCTTTGCCTCCTAGGATTTCACCTTGCATAGTGTTATGAGAGTATATTCTTTGAGTATGGGCTGGTTTTGGTCTTTTTTTAAAGGTCAAATTTTTCTGCAGTGAAAGGCACAAGTTTCAGCAAATGTATACTTTCTGTAACCTGAGCCCCTGGCAAGTTAGCATTTCCTTCTTAGAAAATTCCCTCGAATTCCTTCTCAGTCAGTCCTCACGTCCCATCCCTGTTCCAAGTGTTTCACTGGGAATCAGTTCACTTGTTCAATAACCTCATATAAATGGAGCCAAATAGTATGTACTTTTCCTGTGTAGACAGAGTTTATTTTCACTCAGCATATTGTCTTGAAGTTCATCTGTGTTCATGTATCATTAGTTCATTCTTTTTATTGCTCAGCAATATGCCATTGTGTTAATGTAGTACCATTTATTTATTCCTATTACTGGACACCTGGAGCACCCTCTTTGGAGCACCCTCATTGGAGCTAATATAAATATAAATCTATGAATGTAACTATACAAGTCTTTTGTGGACATGTTTCATTTTTCAATATTTTAATAATTAAACTGTTTTCCAAAGCCATTTCTTTTTTTCTTATAAGTATGCTGGATACACATTAGTAGTTTGATCACTGGGCCATGTGTTAAGTTAGTGACCTGGTTATACTCACTTTTTCTTAGGGAAGAAGATGTCACAAAGACTATGTACCCTCCACCAGTCAACAGCAGCATCCAACTGTCCAGGGATACCAGTGAGAAAAAACTTGACCTTATCTGTGATGCTATGCGAGCAGCCATGGAGAACATAAACCCTCACAAGTATGGGTGCTGTCATTATTGGCATCTTTTGAATAATGGAGATGTGTAGTTGTCCTTGTCCAGCTTATTCATCTCTCATTCTGGTGTTCTTCACTTGTTACCTCAGGTACTGCCTATCCATACTCACATCTCATGTGAAGAAAACTACCCCAGAATTGGAAATTGTCCTGCAGAAGGTACACGAACTTCAAGGTAGAGACCTGCTCATAGATAGAGGGTTTAACATGGCCTCACTAGTCACTAGTCTTCTGAGATGACCATCACCTCATAATTGTCACATCCCAGAGTAACATATGGCCTTTTGGTTACCATTTTAAGACCTGTTGTTGTTTTTGAGTGGTGCCTTGCAAAACATGACAAAACAGTCAAAAATATATATTCATCTGGTATCCAATTGTCAGAAAACTTATTACTCCATGTTTTTGGTCATGTTTTTAGGTCTGTGGGGTTTTGTCCCCAGGTTTTGATCTGTTTTGTTTTCTGAAACACCAACAGAAAATGCTCCATCTGTTCCTGATGCTGTAAGTGCAGAGGAGGCCTTAAAATACTTACTGCTTCTGGTGGATGTTAATGAATTATATGATCATTCCCTTGGAACCTATGACTTTGACTTGGTCCTCATGGTAGCTGAAAAGTCACAAAAGGTATGTGGAGTTACTGCTTTTGCATCATTTGGGGTCTTGTTTGTACAATCATAAGAGTGTGAACCCCAGCTTCTGGGAGTATAGCGTCTTGTCGATAAGCTATGGGTACAGGGCTGAGGCTGATCTGTGAGTCTCTAGAGCCCACCCACTTAGCCTCATCCTCTGACGTAGTTCTGTGCTTATCAAAGTGTTTTGATTCTGGGGTTGAGGAGGTGAAATAAAAATATGTCATTATTTCTAAGATATATTATACGCAAATGTGTGAACCATTATCTTGTAAAGGAAATGTTCTGAGTACTTCATATTCCACTGCAGTTCTCTTTTCCACCTTTGTGTATACGCTACAGTCAAAAAGTTTGAGCCCCACTTTTTTTTTTTTTTTTTTAAGTTTTTCTTTTAAGTCTTCGTTTCTTCCCCTATTAATTTGTTCTTTGCTCTTCCTAGAACTGTTCTTTCCAAAAAGGAAACTCTGGTCCTTCATTTCTCTGCTTAAAATTCTTCATGAGCTCTTTATTTCCACTCGGATGTGATTTAGGAGTCAACACATTGCTTTCGAACCCTCCCGCAATCTGCAATCTGTGTACCTCTCTGTTCTCTTCTCAGCACATCTTGTTCTTCGCTCATGGAGGAGAGGCAGTGCTTTGTTATCCTCCCCCACTGCACACTGCCACTTGCCTTTGTTTAGGTAGCATTGTGTCTGCCACCTGGGCGTAGGCTTCTACTGCCGCCACCCTGGTAGCCTGGCTAGTTCTCTCCTAGTAAACCCTTCCTGCCCTGCCCCTGTTCAAGGACTGGGTGAGATGCTCTTCTGGGACACCCAGGGCCTATCCCTGCATAGCATAGTCTCCTACAGTGGCTGTTTCCTGAAGTGAAGGGCTATGTTTCATTTTTTGTACTTATCCAATATTTAATAAATATTTATTTATGAAATAATTTGGCCCAAGTTACTTCCAGATCACAGTCATGAGCATTTAATTATTTCCATTTTTCCCCCAATATTGTTACATGTATTCATCCATTTGTTTTATGAACAGAAAGCATTTCTTCTTTAGGAAGAAAAACAATTGACTTCTAGGGCATGGCACAGGGTTAGAAATGATATGAAGATGGTAGTGCCAATAAATGCTAGGTCTGTAGGGCCTCTAAGTTTTGTGTCAACTCAGTATGGTTTACCTTTGTTTTACCTGTGCTCTTTGTAAATGGGGGACACAGAATGTCATGAAAACAGTACCAAGAGCAGTGCCGTGCACTGTTAGGAGAAACTTGGGTGCCTTAGTTGCCTCACTTATATAGTACAACCTTGTTTTCCTAAACCTGTGAGGTGAGTGGCTTTTCTGAGACGTAGTTAAGGAGTAGTCATTAGTATTCCATATATGAACTAATAACACTATATGGGAAAGCATTTTTACCAAAACTTCTTCAATGTAGTTTGATTTTAGGTAATTATATAATATATAATTAACACAATAGTGCACTAATGTATTTAAAATCATATTGCTCTGAGTTTATTGCTATGGTTAAATGTTATATATCTATTTTCATATGTAAATATCAAAAGTAATAATATTCTCATTTATTTTTTTAGGATCCCAAAGAATATCTTCCATTTCTTAATACACTTAAGAAAATGGAAACTAATTACCAGCGGTTCACTATAGATAAACACTTGAAACGGTTTGAAAAGGCCATTGGCCACCTCAGCAAGTGTGGTAAGCTTGAGGATTAGTATGTTTATTTTTGCTTCAAATCTTCTTTGGAACCAGGCAAGGTATGAATTAAAGGTTATTTTAGAAAGAGACTGATTTGATTTCAGTTTCCACTCCTGAAACCTGTAACCATGTTATCTACTCACCTTATTTTGCCTTATTTTCTGAAAGGCTGAGGGTACACCAAATTGGCTAGGAGGTTCTTCCTACCCAGGAATGTAGATCAGATCCTTTTTGAGTTATGAGCACCTCCTAAGTTCAGTACCTCAATCAAAGCACTATACTACCCTTCTGGTAGTGTTGGCCCCATGGGAAGGAACCCTGACATGTCTGGAGTGGGTGGCAGGGCCCTGTCTAGTGCCCTGAGAAGACACAGTTTTAATTGGTAATGACAGAGTAGAAAAAGAGCAGTGCCTATTGATCTCCTTCACCTGGTCCATGACCTGTGCTGGAGCAGTTGGGATTCTATACTGAGGTCTGACCTGGGGACAAGGAAGAATCTCCTAGGGTGCTTGTTAAGCATTCAGCTCTGGGCTTATTTGGAGAGACTAATTCAGCTGGTCTAAAGGAGGACCAAGGTATATGTTTAATAAGCTCCCCAGGTGAATAGTGTGGGAAGAATTCCTAGTAGAATGCTGGTCCCAATCAGTGCTTCTCCTGCCTCAGAATCTGCAATGGTGCTCATTAAAAATTCCTGAAGTCCTTCTCCAGGTACTTAGTTTATGTAAAGTCTTAAAAAGGTCCCACATTAATTTTGTTTGGGGACTGTTGGTAGAAATGAAATCCATTTTGCTTCCAAAATCTTAAACCTTGTTTGTGTGAATCTTATTCCTGCAGGACCTGAGTACTTCCCAGAATGCCTAAATTTAATAAAAGATAAAAATTTGTATAAGGAAGCTCTGAAGTTATATCCGCCAAACTCCCAGCAGTACCAGGTGTGTGAAATAAGGCTTTGTGCTTTGGTTGGAAAGGGGTGAGTGAGGGTCCTGAGACCATAATGTCCTTGGTTTCCAGTTTTGTCCCGACACTAGTTAGCTTCATCTTGAACTTCTCATCTAGGGAGATGGCCCGACCTGTCATGAAGAATCACTCGGGGCAGAGACCAAGGGGTTGACCCTGACTGCTCACCTAGAACATCATAGCTGCTTCCCTCCTGCCCTTCTCTGGTCTGGCCTCTGGTCTGGCCTCATGCTGTATGATGATCCGTTTGAAAAATACACATCTTTCCTGTTAATTTCAGGAGAAAGGGAGTCGGTTTGGTGGGAGTTTTTTTTTGTTTTTTTTTTAAATAAGTATTTAGCTATTCTTTATATTCCAAACAACTTTGCTTATAAACTCAATGTATTATGTGATCCTCATAACCTGGTAGGGTGTTGTGGACAACTTACAGATGAGGACACAATCTGCTATAGCTACAAAGTAGCAGACCTGGGATATGGGGCCCAGGCTGACCTCCAGGTCCCTGCGATTAACCAGCAGCATGATTAACCAGCATGCTGCTGTCGGGATTTTCTCTTCATTCGCAGATTACACACATGCCTCTCCTGCTAGTTTTGGTAGCACCAGCTTCTTCCACTCTCCACAGTCCCTGTTACTTGGAAATAGTTCTACAGATATTACACTCTGTAACAGTGCCTCTGCCAGCACTCTGCCCTGCCCTTCCTTCATGTGAAGGAATTTTTGTAGAAATTGTCTTCTCTAGAAAGCCATTGTTTATTAGATGTCAAACACTGATCTCCCAGAGGACCCTATTCTTATCTGGCAATTCATTCTCTGTTGCCATAAGAGCAGGAACTTGGTGGCAGTTCTTATTTGTTTTATCATTTGTTTGGTTTTATTTTTTGCATAGCTGTGTTCACTGGCTAGAGTAGTGCATATGTAGGTATCTAGTAATCGTTGAATAAATAAATGGTACATCTCCAGTAAGGTTTTGCATGGAAAATGATTGAATTAACTTGTCAACCATAGGGTTTTCCCAAGTGATTCCTGAGACTCAATTATTAGTACTTAAGGCAGCCTACTATGAAGCTTGAAGAAATTGTCACATTTCCTTACCATCTTATCTCCTGTCACAGGCTATCAGCATTGCTTATGGGGAACACCTGGTGCAGGAGCAGCTGCATGAGCCAGCGGGGCTTGTGTTTGCCCGTTGTGGTGCCCACTCTAAAGCGCTCTCAGCCTTTCTGACTTGTGGCAGCTGGCAGCAAGCCCTCTGTGTGGCAGCTCAGCTTGATTTGACCAAAGACCAGCTGGCTGACCTTGGTAGAACTCTGGCAGGTGAGCATAGTCATTTATTTTCTACTTCTCTAAAAGGTTTTTTCTATTGTTTGGTTTGGAAATTTTGCAAATAAATTTGAGGCAGCATACATTGAGTCAGTCTCATATTCACTGACAAAAGTTAATTTAGAATGTTCTATTGTAAAGCAGGGTAAAGGTTAAACTACTACAACAAGAGTCCCAAAATATAGCATTCTAAAGAAAGTAGTTTCTTTAGAATGCTATGTATTGGGACTCTTGTTGAAAGTGGAGGCAGTTTGGTAGTTTCTCTTCATGTAAGGACTGGTACATAGATCTTTCCTCTGTGAGCCTGTCAGTTTCTTAGATGGTTACAGCTTGGTTCTCTTTCCATCTAATATTCCAGTTCTTGAGGAAATGGCGGAGAGTAATAGGAAGACATTTATTTTTAATTTGGAAATGACCTAGAAGTTACACGGTTAGTTCTACTCTATCATTTACCAAACATCTATCTGTGGCCACACCTAACAGTGTAGCTGGGTGGCCATGTGCTTTGTAAAAAGGTAAAGATGAATTTTGGGATGGAGGCATTCTGGCATAGACGTTGATTGTTGGAGTCCATAATAGAAATTTCTAAGAATGGAGTGTAGGAAAAGGCCAAATGTATAAGCAGCCTGAAAGAGTGGAGGCAGGTTGCTGGCTTTGGGGTCTAGGGATTAGGGTTAGTACCAGGGTCTTATTTCTTTGAGTGGAGGAGAGGGTGAGGAGGTCTGTGAGAGGAGATGAGTAGGGCCCTGGCCTTCCCAGCAGTGATTGAAATAAAGGAATGACTGGTATATTATTCCCTGCCTTTCTCTCCTAGTCCATTTTCTGTTGCTAATAGAACAGTATCACTTACCTGTAGACTAGGTTGTAAAGAAAAGAGGTTTTTTTGGCTCATAGTTCTGGTTCAGGATCAAGGGCCTGCATTTGCTGATGGCCTTCTTGTTGGCAGTACTGAGGGGGTATACGCATCTGTCACATTGAGAGATTGAGTGTGCTTCCAAGGGTGTTAATGAAGCCAGGTGCAGTGGCACACACCTGTAAATCCCAGCAGTTGCAGAGGCTGAAGCAGGAGGATCACAAGTTTAAGGCCAGACCCAGTGCCTTAATGAGACTCTCAGCAGTTTAGTAAGACCCTGCCTCAAAATAAAAATCTAATGTCTCTGGGTTCCATCCCTGGTACCAAACAAACAAACAAAAAATTGTGAGTGTGTGTGCGTGCGTGCAGGCGTGCGCGCTTGTGTTTTCTGATCTCTCTCCCACTTCTTATTACACCACTAATATTCAATCATGAAATCCACACTGATGACTCATCTAATTCTAATAAGTCCCCAAAGTCCCACCTCTAAATGCCATAGTTGGATTAAATTTTCACACTCTTAACCTTACAATGGGGATTAAACTCCAACATGAGATTCTGAGGGGATAAACCATATTCAAAAAGCCTTGTAAACACTGTTATGGTTTCAAAAGAAAATAAGCTGTCCTGAAAAAATTCCTAATTATAGCTTATTGAATTTATATACATATTCTCTTTTGTTATTTGTATTATTCCTTTTTCTGTGGGATTAGAAAATGTGTGAGATTATCATTTTTCTTATTCTGATTATTAAGATCTGTAGGCTTCTCTATAATCCCTCTTTTTACAAATGTTGACAGTTATTTTGGGCATTTTTATTATTCTGGCTTTATCATTACTTTTTTAGAAATTACACTATTGGTAGTTCATACCTTTGAGCTCTGTTCTTGGAGGATCTAGTAGCTTCTCTGATATTCTTTACAACTCTTAGCCTACTGTTTACCATGTCTGTGATGGAGCATACCTGACTCTCTGAGATGAAAGGTGTGCTGAGCCGTGGGCAGAGGTCTTGAGCATTGTTGTACAGTAGGGTCACTTTATGTGCCCATTTACCTGAGGCAGTTTACACAAACTAACAGAAGAAAGAAAACGATTTAAATAGTGGAGATGATCCTACCTTTTTTTTGTTTTAAGTGATAATATGCCCTGGAGTGAGCATGAGATAGGAGATAAGCCTGCCTCTTAGTAAGATGTAGGTTACATATGCCCCTCATAGGGCGATTTATCTCATCTGGGCTGATTGATTCTAGGAGCTAAGGACACTGTATGACCCCCAAACATAAGCCATCTACCTCCATCTAGTGCTCAACCAAAGAAACAGCAGCCTCTTCCTGTTAATTCCCATATGCATGCATTTTGAAGGTTAATTTTGACTATATGATTTTCAAATTCTTTACTAGATTTTTTAACTGCTGTTTAAGATAGGACTCCATGGTATGTGAACTTACTCCCTTCATAGAGACTTACAAAGTGCATAAGATAATATTATGAAATATTATCTTTGCAGGAAAGCTCGTGGAGCAGAGGAAGTACAGTGATGCGGCCATAGTTCTGGAACAGTATGCCCAGGTGAGCTTACTGTTTTCCCTGTAGAGCCCCAGTCAGCAAGAAGGGGCTTGCTGGTTGCACTTTACTGATAGTGAAAATTAAAGGAACTGTGAGTAATCATTAGGTCCTAAGATAGTGGGAGGGTCTTCTATCTTGCTGTCTTGACCTAGAAATTCAGTTTAATACATCTCTAAATACAGATTGAGTATCCCAATTCCAAATCTTAAAAACTTCAAAATATGAAACTTTTCAAGTGCCAATATGATGCACAGGTGGAAAATTCCACACCTGACCTCATATGATAGGTTGCAGTCAAAATGCAGGCACACCAAAAATACTGTATGAAATTACTTTCAGGACATGTATAATCTGTATACAAGTATCAATGATATCTCCAAAATATCACTTTGTGTATATGTAAATATTCCAAAACCTGAAGAAATCCAAAATACTCAGATTCTAAGCCCTTCACATAAGGGATTCTCAAGATATAATTTCAAATTTTGTGGGTTAGAATCCTTTAGAGCTCTAGTATAATACATGCTAGTAATCTGATCTTGGTAAAAAGTACTAAATTCATCTCAAGGTAGTTGTGCTTTTTATGTTGACTTTACCAAAGTAGAAACAGTGAGAAAAGGATCATTATATAACAAAGTAATTCAACTTTAGATACGCTTTTGGCTTTTCTTACCATTCTCTCTGTTGGAAATGTTTCTTTTTGCCTCTGGCAGTTTAAGGAGTTCACTTATACAGCATATTATAAGTACCCATATGAGCTTTTGCTAGAATTGTAGAATTTTTTGTAAAAATAATAAAAGTGTACATTGACACTGGCCAAGAACTAATAGGACACAGATACCCAGTTGATGCCAGGGATTTCTGCCTTTTGGAATAGATAGTCCATTTTTAGTCTGGCTAAAAATGGACTATCTATTGTAATGTTTTTGAGATTCATTCATGTTGTAGCCTAATTAGTAGCTTCTTACTTGTTATTGTGGAGTAGTATTCCATTGTATGGCTGTATCAAAATTTGTGGACCTGTTCACTGTGACGTACACTTAGATTGTTTTCATTCTGGGGTTTAAAGAATAAAGCAGTTTTGAGCTATAGTAACAAAAATGGCATAGTCTTGGCACCAAATTAGACACATAGACCATTGGTGCAGAATAGAAGACACAGAGACAAACCTACATAATGATAGTTATCTCATATTGGACAAAGGAACCGAAAACATACATTGGAGAAAAAATAACTTCTTCAATAAATGGTGCTGGGAAAACTGGAAATCCATATACAGCAAAATGAAACTAAACTTCTATCTCTCACCATGCACAAAACTCAAAGTAGATCAAGGACCCAGAATTAGACCAGAGACCCTGTGCCTAATAGAGGAAAAAGTAGGCCCAAACTTCATGTCAGATTAGATCCTGACTTTTAACAAAAGAAGTAATCAATTATGTGACACAGAGCGGGAGAACATCTTCACTACACGCACATCAGATAGAGCACTAATCTCCAGGACATACAAAGAGCTCAAAAAACTTAACAGTAAGAAAACCAAATAATCCAATCAATAAATGGGCTAAGGAGCTGAACAGACACTTCTCAGAAAAAGATACATAATCGATCAACAAATATATGAAAAAAATGTTCACCATCTCTAGTAATTAGAGAAATGCAAATCAAAACTAAGATTTCATCTCATGCCAGTCAGAATGGTAGTTATCAAGAATATAAACAATAATAAGCTTTGGTGAGGATGTTGGGTAAAAGGCACATTCATACATTGCTGGTGGGACTGCAAATTGGTGCAACCACTCTGGAAAGCAGTATGGAGATTCCTTGGAAAACTTGGAATGGAACCACCATTTGACCCAGCTATCCCACTCTTTGGTCTATACCCAAAGGACTTAAAAACAGCATATTACAGGGATACATCCACATCAATGTTTATAGCAGCACAATTCACAATAGCTAAATTTTGGAACCAACCCAGATGCCATTCAATAGATAAATGGATAGAGAAACTTTGGTATATACACACAATGGAATATTACTCAGCATTAAAAGAGATTAAAATCATGGCATTTGCAGGTAAATGATTGGAGTTAGAGAATGTCATGCTGAGTGAAGTAAGCCAATGCCAAAAAACCAAAGGCTGAAAGTTCTCCCTGATAATGGATGCTGATTCCATAATGGGGGAAGGCATGAGAAAAATGGAGGAACTTTAATGGGGCAAAGGGGAAGGAAAGGAAAGGAGGGAGTATAGGGGCAGGAAAGATGGTGGAATTCGATGGACCTTATTATTCTAGGTACATATATGACTGCACATATGGTGTGATGCTACATCATGTACAGTCATAGAAATGAAAAGTTCTGCTGCAGTTGTGTACAATGAATAAAAATGCATTCTGCTGTCATATAGACCTAATTAAGATAAATAAGTAAATTTATTTTAGAAAAAGAATAAAACATGGATTGGGGCTGTAATTCAGCGGCAGAGCGCTTGCTTAGCATGCGTAAGGCACTGGGTTCAGTCCTTAGCACCACATAAAAATAAAGAAATAAAATAAGGGTATTCTGTCCATCTACAACTACAAAATAATAGTAATAATAATAATAATAAGAAGAAGAAGAAGCATAAAACAGCTTTGAACATTTTAGTACATGTGTCTGTGGGGATAAGAGTAGAAATGCTGGATCCTGTGGTTATTCAGTGTTTGACTTTATAAGGAGCTGAAGGACTTCTCTGATTGGTTGTGTTCCCACCAATGATGTGTAGTACAGCAACACCAGGTGTGTTACCTTCAGCTGCCACTACTGGGAGGATTGTCTATGGCCATGTAACAGTCTACCTCAGAATTCAGCTGCTTGAAACAATAAGGGCTTATTATCTCACTTGAATTAATAACATATTACTTGTTGAACCTCACATTTAAATGAGCAAATGGCTTATCATTAGTAGTAATTGATTTTTTCACATTTTAGGAGATAACCAGATTCAATAATGGGAGTAGAAAGTAATTGAATGAAAACTGATTTTAGAAAATACCTCCTTGAGACTATACTCCTATGGTATTTATTACATTTTTGGGTCAGCTTCAACTGTTAAGATAAATGTATATAAATACATACATATATATATATAAATATATATATTTATACATATACACACATACACACATACATATTCAGTAACAAACTGAGTTCTTTAGGAAGGGAACAAAGTGATGTGTTCTAGAGCAATATTTTTTGTTTCTGTCTTCTAGGCAGTGAGAGTGGAGTAGGACACAGTAGACAGATCTATAATGTCATGAATTATTTGTTTCTGTGAAATCCTATAGGGGTATCACTATTACTTGGACTGATGAGAGGAAGTTTAAAAAACATACTTATCATGAAGAATTGGCATTTCCTTATCATGTACATTCTGGATCTGAACATCAGGGCCTTTAATATTCTGTACTGATTAATCCCTAGGAATGCAAAGAATAGTAAATTGCTATGTGAGTATTTTAAATGACTCATTTAAGACTTGCATAGTAAAGCAATAAGTATAAGCCCACCTGTCATTAAATATGGGATTTATTTTTTTCTTTTTGTAGTGTTATCTCTTCCACGGGGTGAATCCAGCTTGCCACCTGTTTTTGTAAATAAAGCAGTACAGCCATCCCATTTGTTTACATTTTGTCTAGGCAGCTTTGAAAATCCAATAACAGCTAAGGAGTTGTGACAGAGATAGTCTGGCCCACAGAGCCAAAAATATTTACTTGTTAGCCTTTAAACAGGAAAAATATGGCAATTTTTGCTTTCTTGGATTAAGGAAATCCCTTCTAATCCTAGTTCTGAGCAATTTTGTTGTTTTTATCATGACTGGGTGTTGAATTTTGTCCAGTGTGTTTTCAACTATGATCTGTTTTTTGTTGTTGTTGTTGTTGTTTAGTCCAATGATGATAATAAATTACGCTGCTTGATTCTCAGTTATTAAACCAATATGGCATTCTAGGTTAAACCACTCAGCTATCATTTCTTATCCTTTTCCTATATTGGTGGATTAGAGGATTGCTTGAGGATTTGTAGTTGTGCTCGTGAGCGTTTTTTAAGTTTTTGTCTCGTTTCGGTATTAGGATGATGCTGTTCTTATAAAATGAGGGGAAGTGTTCCTTATTCCTTTTTTTTTTTTTTCTGGAAGAGTTTGTGTATAATTATGTTAGGAATCTGGCTCCTGGTTAAAGACTCCTGTGTGAGTTTTCAGACCTGACTGAGCAATTGTAGGAGCCTTGAAGGAGAAGCAGCCCCTCCCACACCCTGCCTGGTGCACTGCCCGTGCTAAAGGGGGTGCAGCCAAGGATCCGGCCCCTAGCGGTCTTGTTCTTCCCATTTGTGCGTTCCTAGCCCTGGTGCTTTCATTTCTAGGTCTATTTATCTGAGGCCTTGGGCCAAGTTCATCTCTAGGCACCCCTTCCTTGGCCTCTGCAGTGCAGTGAAGGAGAGGTGACACTTAAAGACACTTTCCCCCAAGCATATGGCTAGCCAGTACTTTTCTACTGCTAGCCATTTCCCCCTTTCTGTCCTCTGCCAAGGTCCATAAAATACTGTTGAAGCTTTTTGTTCTGGGCTCCCTCATTAGTGATAGAACCCGCACATCTGTGCTGGGCCAGGTGACCTGGACCCGTGTGCTCTGGTGTTCCCTGGGAGAGAATGAAGAGGAGCTGGTGGTTTCTCTGGGGTTAGCCTCTTGCTTATCCCAGGCTTAGCTTTCATTTGGGCTCGGTACTCTGGCCAGCTCCTCTGACACTTGGCAGCACATCTCTCTCTCCCTGCTCAGCTTTTGACATACTTTTCCCCCTCAAATGTTTGGTTGGTAGAACTTATCAGTAAAGCCATCTGGGCCTAAAGTTTTCTTTGCTGTAAATGTCTTACTGTACGTTTCTTTAGTAGACATATGCCTGTTAGAGTTATCTGTTTCTTCTGGAGTGAGCTTTGGTAGTTTGGATCCTTCAAGAAATTCATCTAAATTGTCAGATTTATTTACATAAAGTCATGCATAATGTTGTCTTACTCTTTTATTGTCCGTAGGGCCCATAGCGATGTCCTATCTTTCAGTCCAGAAAGATATTGTTTACTTGTGTCTTTGGTTTTGTTGTTGTTGTTGTTATTGGCTAGGGGCTGATGAATTTTATTGATCTTTTTAAAAAATTAGCTATTTCAGTGTTTTTCTCCACGCTCTATTTCATTAATTTATTATTTCTTTATTGCTTGCTTTGGGTTAAATTTGTTTTTTATTTTTCTATTTTCTTAAGGTGTTGGCTTAAAAATTACTGATTTGAGACCTTTCCCTCCTTAGTAGTTTAAGCACATGTTGCCATGATTTCCCTGGGCTCTGTTTTAGCTACAACCTACAATTTTTGACATATTGTATCTTCATTTTCTAATTTCCCTTGTGATTCTTTACTGACCTGTGAGTTATTTTGAAGTGTTGGTTAGCTTGCAGTATTTGGAGATTTTCCAGCCATCTTTCTGTTATTGATTCTTACTTTAATTCTGTTATGATTAGAGAGCACACTTTTTGTTAATTCAGTCCTCATTTATAACCCAATGTGGTCTGTTTTAAAGAATACTGTGTGCCTGGGAATATGACATCTGTGATGGGATGAGGTGTTCTATCATGTTCATTAGATTAGGTTGATTGATTGTGCTCTGGTTTTTTTGTCATCATTGATTTTTTTTTCACCACTTTATCAGTGCTGGAAGAGAAAATGTTTAAATCCTCATCTGCAGTGGTGTATTTTTCTGTTTCTCCTTCCATTCTGCCAGTGTCTCCATCATGCCTGTCCTTGATGAATTAATTTTGAAGGATTATTCTTTATCATTGTTAATATTTCTTATTCTGAAATTCACTTTGTGTTATTAAGGTAGCCCTTTCAGCTTTCTTTTAACTACTCTTTTTATGGTGTATTTTTTCCATTCTTTTATTTTTAATGTTTCTGTATTTGGTCTTTATGTTTAAGGTAGGCTTCTTGTTGACAACGTGTAGTAGTAGTTGTTTTTTAATATAATTTGACAATCTTTGCTGTTTTTATTTCTATTTTAGTTTTCCCAGCACTAGGGATTGGACCCAGGGGTGCTTTACCACTAACCTACATCCCTACACAATATCTTTATTTTATTTATTTTTATGTGGTGCTGAGGATCTAACCCAGCGCCTTGCATGTGCTAGGCAAGCGCTGCATTCCACTGCTGAGCCACAACTTCAGCCTCACTGCTCCTTTTTATTATTTTTTGAGACTATGCCACGCTGATCTCAGATTCCCAAGCAGTTGGGGTTGCAGGCATGTGCCACCACATCCAGGCTCATTTGCTGTCTTTTAATTGGAGTGTTTAGACCATTTGCTTTTAAAGAGATTACCAGTATAATTGGGTTTAAACCTATTGTCTCGCTGGTTTTTTTGTTTTGTTTTGTCTAATTGATCTTTTTTTTTTCTTTTTATCTCTTTTCTTCCCTCTTGGATCTAGTATTTTTTCATAAATCCATTTTATCTCCATTACTGGCTTTGAATATTTTAGTGGTTATTCAAGGAGTTACAGTATATACCATAATCATTTATCATAGTATATATTCAGCTAATAATATACCACTTTATGTATAATGTAAGAACCTTACAAGAATATACTTACATTCCCCACTCTTATCCTTTGTATAATTCACATTTTAATTCTACACATATGATAAACTCTGTAATAATTATTATTGTTATGATTAGTTATTGTTTAAGAATATTTCAGTATAAGCCAAAAGCATCTTTTATTATTTCTTCTCTTTCAAGAGAAGTTAGAAATATAAATTTTTCTTTGACATTCCCTAAGTTTTCAAAAACTTCAGGTAAGGGGCTGGGTTTGTGGCTCAGTGTAGAATGCTTGCCTAGCATGTGTGAGGCACTGGGTTCACTTCTCAGCACCATATATAAATAAATAAAATAAAGGTTCATTGATGACTAAAAAATAAAATAAAACAAAACTTCAGGCTACTCAAAATGGATCAACAACTTAAATTTAAGAGTTAAAATTCTAAGACTCTCAGAAGGAAACATAGGGTAAACCTTCTTGACCTTGTATTTGGTGCAATGGATTCTTAAAATTAACACAAAAAGCACAAGGAACAAAAGAAAAGTTCATAATTTGGGTTTCATAAGAATTAAGAATTTTTATATTTATAGACATTATCAAGACGGTGAAAAAAACAATCTCTAGAATGAAATAAAATATTTTAAATCATATCTGATAAATGTTTAATATCCAGAATATATAAAGAACTCTTAAAATTCAACAACAATAACAAAAACCCTTTTAAAATGATCACAGGATTTGAATAGATTGTTTTTCCAAAGAAGATATATAAATGACCAGCACATGAAAAGATGTTTACTATCATTAGTCATTTTCAGTTTTCTAAAGGTTTGAAATTTTTTGAAAGAAAATATTGGAGAAAAAAAATAAATGTTGAAAAGAGCAAAAAGACTTTAAGATTAGTAGTTCTGGTCTGTTGTTTTTTGGAGTGTGGTGTCTTTGCTGAAATAACTTTGGTGGTGAAGCTGGGGAAATGGGCATTGCTAACAGACCTGCCTGGTGGTGTTGATATCACGAAACGTAAAGAGGTCATATTTACCTGTGTTTTGTCATCATGTTGAGGAGCACCACCCCTCCTTTGTCTTTTGTACCAGTGCTTACAGAGAGTAAAACCAGAGTGTCTTAGCATGTCAGGAACCTACGAGCTGTGACTCTGAGGGGTCTGAGTGGCGAGGTAGGCCAGGGATGTGAAGGCAGCTCAGGAAAGTTTTGTGGTTGGGTGAGGCTTCATCTGACACACTTACTCCCTTCGCTGCTTGTCTTCCTTGCCAGGATTATGAAGAAGCTGTGCTCTTACTGTTAGAAGGAGCTGCCTGGGAAGAGGCTCTGAGATTGGTAAGAGAAATTCTGAAATCTTCCTATGTTGGGTGCTAATGAGAGAGAGCAGCAAGGGAGACAAAATAAAATTTGACTGCTTTTTATTAAAGTGAGTTGAATTTCTTGGCTGCTAGGGAGGATCCCTGCTCTTCAGGAAACTATCCTTGATATGCTGAAGTATTTGGGAGTGAAGGATAATACCTAAATTAAAATTTTAAAAAGTTCAGTGAATGTATCAACAAGTGTATGTGTGTGATGCACGTGTATGTGTACACAGGAAGTTTTCTTGCCTAAAACTATTATTTTTTTTTCCTCTTAGGTATACAAATATAACAGACTGGATATTATAGAGACCAACATAAAGCCTTCCATTTTAGAAGGTGAGGGTTACATTGTAGATAGCATTCTCCTGTTTGGAAGTATAGAGAAGGGGAGAAGAAAGATGCAGGGATACTCTTGTTACTCTTTTTTGTTTTGTTTTGGTATCAGGGATTTAACCCAGGGACACTTTACCACTGAGACACATCCCCAGCCCTGTGACTGCATTTTAAAAGCATATGTTATATATACTCAATCATAATTTTTAAAACTATGCTGAACTATTAGGTTCTAATGTTTTAAATCTTTTAAGTGTAACTATGATAAAACACAATTCAGAATTTTTGTGCCAGACTGGTACACACCTGTGATCCCAGTGACTCAGGAGGGTAAAGCAGGAGGATCACAAGTCTAAGGCCAGTCCTGGTCACTTTGTAAGGCCCTGTCTCAAAATAAAAATGACTGGGGATATAGCTCAGTGGTCAAGTGCCTATGTATTTAAAAAACAAAAACCCACAAATCTTTGTAATGTATGGGTTTGGATTATGGCAGGCCTGGGTCACTGAGCATGTCATAGGTCCTCTGCCAGAGCAAACTCAGGTTGCACACCATTGTTTGGCCTCTGTGTTTGTGGGCTGCTAGTACTGAAGTAAGTTGCCCAGTAAGGGGAGAAAAAGGAATCATTGTTTGGGGGAATAGTTGGTAAATTTGAGTATGAACTACATTAGGTAATAGTATTATATCAGTGATAAATTTTCTACATTTGATCTTGTGGCTTTATAAGATAATATCCTCATTATTCTTAAGAGATAAATGCTGAAGTATTTGGGAATGAAAGATAATATCTGAAAGTTCTATAGCTGTGTGTGTGTGATGCACATATGTGTACACAGGAACACACATGCACAGAGAAACAGGCAGAAAATAGGCAAAATGTTAACAATTGGTAAATCTATGTGAAGGGTGTATGTGTCAAACTATTGTGATTTTTATAAAACTAGAAATAAAAAATAAATAAAAAGAACCTTTGTACATGATGTTTATGTATGGTTCCTAGAGAATAAGTGAATATTAGAAGTCTAGAATATTCCGATAGCCACTGGGATCCTTTAACAAGATGGGAGAAAACAAAATCAATTTGACTTCTAGAAATCTTAGGAGTGCACATTGGTTTTAATCTCTTACTTTTTAAGCAGTCTGTCTCATAAGGACGTCTGACCTTTCTGACATTTGCATTTATTTACATTCTCTGCCTTCCTGCTCCTCCTGTCCCCATCCTCACCGGAACTGTTGTTGGGGTACTTTTTGCACTATTCGCTTTAATTGTCCCTAACTGGATACACGAAGCATCCTTCCTGGTACTGTAACAATTCATTTAGCCAGCTCTTACCTGGATCTACATGACTAATGAGAACATAAAAATATGTTAATAATTCCTCTGCACAAGCCTAATACCTATTAATAACATTGGTCCTTGGATAGGACCATTTTGATTTTTTTTCATATATTCGGCTAGTGACATTTTTTTCTTTTATTATTTTTCATTGGAAGATAATTTTCAAAAATCCTTAGGTTCATTTATTCTATACCCCTAGGCATTTTGATCTATGTTTAGGAAGAAACATTCAAGTAACTTTCTTCTTATTTTTGTTAATAGCTTCCTGTACTCTCCCTTTATTTGCCAATCTTTTGGATAGATTCCAAGTCTTTGTTCAGAGGATTTTACAGTGTAGTGGTAGGTATGCTGGAATGATACTGATGAACTCAGATCTGGAATCTCAAGTCTCCAGTTCATTAATGCTCATTAAGGAAAAAAATCCTGCTGGAAAAATTTGTCATCTCTTTTTGTTGAATTTTTTTTTAATTTCTTAATTGTTTTACTTTTTTTTAATAATTTTATTTTTTTATTGGTTGGTTCACAACATTACAAAGCTTTTGACATATCATATTTCATACATTAGATTGAAGTGGGTTATGAACTCCCAATTTCACCCCAAATGCAGATTGCAGAATCCCGTCAGTTACATATCCACAATTTTACATAATGCCCTATTAGTAATTGTTGTATTCTGCTACCTTTCCTATCCCCTACTATCCCCGCTCCCCTCCCCTCCCATCTTCTCTTTTTGTTGAATTTTAATCCTTCCTGACTGCTTTTCCATTCCCCTTAGTTTTTTCTCTTTGCTTAAACATCACATTCCAATTATTTTCCATTCTGCATCCTCAGCCCAGAAAAATTACATGGCATTTTTGGACTCTGAAACAGCCATATTCAGTCGCCATAAAAATCGCTTGCTGGTGGTTCGAGAGCTCAAGGAGCAAGCGCCGCAGGCGCATCTGGGTGAGTGCCTGCATGAAGCCTGTCAATACTTGTGGGATGGGCCTAGCACCACTGCACATTGTCTAAGCTGCTTAGTGTCTGTCAGTCCATTTTCTATTGCTATAATAGAATACCTTAGGCTGTGTAACTTATAAAGAAAAGAGATTTATTGGGTCAGAGTTCTAGCATGGCACCAGCATTTACCTGGCTTTTTTTTTATATATATATATTTTTAGTTGTAGTTGTACACAATACCTTTATTTTATTTATTTATTTTTATATGGTGCTGACGATCCAACCCAGTGCCTCACATGTGCGAGGTGAGCATTCTACCGCTGAGCCACACCCCCAGCCCCTAGCTTTTGGTGAGGGCCTCATGACAGAAAGGGAAGTGGACATCTGCAAAGAAATACATGTGTGCAGGAAAGTGAGGAGCTATGCCAGGTGCACTTTATAACAGCTCAGTATCACAGCAACCAATTTAGTCTCATGGGAACAAGAACTCACTCCTGCAAGAAAAGCATTAGTCTCTTAAATTCATTACCACTTTAGGTCTCAGTACTGTCCCTTTGAGAAATTAAGTCTCAAAATAAGTTATTGAATTGGACCAAGCTATATTCAAACCATAGCGGTTTTTTTTTTTTTTTTTAACTGTACCATGTGGAGTCTGAGGCCCCTGAGGAGCTATGTATGTCTGTATTTCTGAGTCTTAGAGAAGGTCTTGGGGTCAGAACCAAGCATGAAACACAAGAGCTATGCCAAGTATCCCCCCCCATCCCCATCCAACCAGCAGTGACTTGTTTCTGTTTCACAAAATAAGTTTTCCTCATTTCAAAGAAGAAAAGGAAAAATGTTTGGTACACTACTGATTCACAGTAGTAATAATTTGTGTTCAATATCTCACTTATTTGAGATTGACTATAATAATTTTCATCTGTCATACTTACTAGTTGGTTGTAATCCATTTATCCCATTGAAGGTAAGTCTGTGTTAGCAGGGAATTTTTCATCTGCATGTGGTTCTTCTTTTCTAGAGGAAGAGGTAACCCATGGTCAAGAGTCAGACCTCTTCTCTGAAACCAGCAGTGTTGTGAGCGGCAGTGAGATGAGTGGCAGGTACTCCCACAGTAACTCCAGAATATCAGCGTACGTATCACTCTGCTCAGTACATTGATCATCCCCTGTGTAAATGGAGAAAGTAGAAGCACATAAATTGGTTTTCTACTATTACAGTTCAGTAGGAATGTTCTTCCAGGCCAAGTGGAAGTTGTGCAAGAACCTGTGTGATGTATTTGTGAGCTTAGACTTGGCACTGAACTGTTCTCTGCAGCTTCATGGCCTATGAGTTGCCTAGTGCCCAGGAGGTACTTCACTGGCTAGTCAATTTATATAACATCTGATTGTATTGGTTTAACAAAGAATGAGTGACTACAATGAAAATATTTTGAAAAAACAAAACAAAACACAAAAATTCCAGGTTTCTTTAGAATCCAGATTGGAAGAGGTTGTGAATATAAAATAAGGCATTACACTTTGACTTGGTGTCAGTTTGTCACAAGTATTGAATGTCAGTGCAGTGACTACCAAATACTTACAAGGAGATTTGAATCATAAGATCTTGGAGTCCTGCTTGGAAGACACAAAACAAGATTTTTTGTTCAAAGTGAACTTATTCATAGCAGAGGTCTGTTGAGTGATTAAAAACTGGAACAAGACAACTTGAATGGACTTTTTAAGAGTCAGAGAGAAAAAGTTCTAGAAAAACCAAATAACATGATTAAAGCCCTGCATCAGGAAGAAATGGAATTCATGTGTCTTCTGTTATATATCAAACTGGCGTGTCATATCTCCTTGTTTAAATTTTATTTTGTTGCTTTCACATTTATTTAGCTAGTGTAAAATTCAAGTTGGTTGATCTGCTCATTATTACAGGATGGTATAAAATATAGCTTCATTTCACTCTGTATTTTAATCAAAACTTTAAGGAAAAATACCACTCTTTAGATACTTTCTTATATCTTATGTAAGGGTTATATCCTTGAATAGGATTTTCCCTATATCTTCTTTATTCCAACACTCACGCACAGCCCCCTTTTATGTGTTAACATGTAGCTTTAACACCTTAATACCACTTCTGCCAGAATACGTGGACATCTGTAGACTCTGGTTTCCCAGAACATCGGTGGCCAGTGGGCATTCATTTCAGTCCACTCAGCACAGGCAGAGCACCTGTTAAACTTATTTCTTTAATTTCTGACAGGAGATCATCTAAGAATCGCCGCAAGGCAGAGCGGAAGAAGCACAGCCTCAAAGAAGGGAGTCCACAGGAGGATCTGGCCCTGTTGGAGGCATTGAGTGAAGTGGTACAAAGCACAGAAAAATTAAAAGGTATAGTCTTAACATTGATGATGATTCTTGATCACAAAAAATTAGTAAATGGGCACCCAACCTAGTTCCATAGATGACAATTTTCAGTGAATACTATTTCCCCAATTTGAGAGAAGAAGAAATTTTTTCAGCAGGAAGGGCTGCTGCTGTGACGGCCCTGCTCAGCAGCAGCCTGCACGCCTTCCTCCATTGGGGCCACCTCACCCAACTATGAGAGGTGAGCACTTAAGCCAGGACAAAGGACTGTGTGGCCCTGCTTCCTGCATGGCCCCAGTGTTTTTCCTTTTGCAGTAGATGTGTTTAATTACTTCAGCATTTGGGAGGAAAGAAGTAAATGTGAGAGAAAGCAACTGTAATGTGAAATTTTGTAGAAATTTTCTGCTTGAGAAAGAAACTGTGGTCTGATTCTGTGGAGATGGGGACACAGCTTGCCACTCACTCAAATTTCTTCTCTAGATGAAGTACATCATCTTTTAAAGATGCTCTTTCTCTTTGAGTTTGATGAGCAAGGAAGGGAATTACAGACGGCCTTTGAGGGTGCTCTGCAGCTGATGGAAAGGTCACTGCCAGAAATTTGGACTCTCGCCTATCAGCAGAATTCCACCACACCTGTAAGTTTTCTCCAAGGCAGTGTGCAGTTTTCTTTCATCATATTCATAGGTCATTACATTCACACAATCCCTTAAAAGTCAAAGCACTTAAGAAATTTACTGTTCTTAAAATACCATATGCCCTCCTTAAATTATCTTAGATTGTTGTTTAGGCTGTCAGTAAGAAGATTTTACTTTTGCCCATTCAGTGGCTAGTGCACATAGGCAGAGGTTAAGTGAGATATTCTTTCTCCTTTCTGGGTATAAGTAACTTTCATTGAGAATTTGGAAATTTTTTCCCTGAGCATAGAGGATGGAGTGGGGAGAGGAGAAAGTAGGATCAGAATTGACCTTTCATCTCCCAGTTGAGAAGTCATGGTTGGGACTGAAGCAGCTTCATGTCTCATCAGGATTTTTCATGTACAGTCATCTGTTTTTTGAGAATACCTCTGCTCACTCTGACCCTTGAGGTTTGTTGTAAAAAGTTTTGGTTTGGATTCAGAAAGGCCCGTCTTTTAGGGTCCAGTAAGGAAAATAAAAACCACAATTGTTACTTCCTCACAGAGAATTTAATACATGGATTGGTGAAAAAATGTTGGGGAACTGAAAAGGCAAGAGGGGACCACAGAAGACGGAGGGACACTGAGATAGTAACTAGAGGATAGAGGATAACATTTGCTACTCCTAAAGCTGGAGAACAAAGGGAAGAGTAGAAGAGTTTCAGAGATTATTATAATTTAGAGGCCTGGCATATACTGGGCAGGCACTCTCCCCCTGAACCACCGCCCCACAGCCTGGGTTCTTGAACGTACAGAAGAGGGTTCTGGTCAGCTCAATCTGATATTTCTGGGGGGTGTGACAAGGCTGGTTCTAAATGTACTGAAATAAATGGAAACTATGAACAGCTGCTGCTGGGGTGAAAGCAAGCAAATCCCTTCTTCCTCCAGCCTTGCACTGTCCCTCTGGTGTCCCCTATTGGTGGAGCATAATAAGGAGTCAGCTGACAGAGAGGACTGTGCTTTTAGGCCCCAGCCCCAGCTTCACAAGCATTGCATAAGAATGGGGTTCTTTCTTTCAGTGAGGAGGTTGCAGTCATTTCAGAAATCTGTGCTTTTGTTTTGGTTAGTAAAAGTATAATGAATGAGACACGTTTGGGATATCCTGAGCCACAAGCTTTTGAGTGCATGGATTACTTCTAAAAATGTTCTTCTCAGGGACTGCATGGTGAGATGAGAGCAAACCAGAGGCTTGTTGAAGTCCTGAAACTCCTGTGAAGTCTTATGCTTTAACATGGGTGTGGAGTTTGTGTTCCACTTGTAAGATACACATATTTGTATTTAATATTAAAATGACTGTTTCCCATGACTAAGTATAAATGTTATTCTGTATTATATAGTTTCTGATATTTTTCCCTTGTGTTGGGATATGGCTTGCTCATTTGGAAAAAGTCAGGTATATATCATTGTAAAGTCCCCCCCGCGCCCCCCCCCCCATTATTACTTTATTCTTCTAGGAGGAAGGAGATTTGAAGGTCTGGCAAATTAAAACCACATTGAAGCTGGGCGCATTGTTATAAACCCATGATCCCAGCAGCTCTGGAGGCTAAGGCAAGAGGATCATGAGTTCAAAGCCAGCCTCAGCAAAAGCAAGGCACTAAGCAACTCAATGAGATCCTGCCTCTAAATAAAAATACAAAATAGGGCTGGGATTATGGCTCATTGGTCGAGTGCCCCAAGTTCAATCCCTGGTATCAAAAAAAAAAAAAAAAAAAATCACATAGAAAAGGAGAATTACTGTGTCAATGCAATACTAATAAAAAATGTTAGGTTGTTTATTGCTATAAGAATTTGAGCCTTCAATTTTTGCAGAAATCAGAAGAATAAGTCAACCTTTGCTTATACACTCTATTTTCTCTTTAGGTTCTAGGTCCCAATTCCACTGCAAATAGCATCATGGCCTCTTACCAACAGCAGAAGACACCAGTTCCTGTTCTTGGTTAGTACCTTCCCTATGAATTCTGAAAATATTGAGCAAAAGGATTATCCATCATAAGTGCTTTGAAGGTCAGCAGTACAAAGAGAGATTGGGTATTAACTAAATTCCCCCTCCATTCTGAGACTTCATCTTTAGTAAGATTACTTTAGTGCTTCTTGTGGCAAGCCCTGGTAAGGGAAAATCCAACATGATAATAAATGTTTAACTTTTTTAAAAAAAAATTAGCAACACTAAAATACTCTTGTTCATGCACCTCACAGTTACAATTTGAACAGTCTACATTTACACATATATTTGGAAGATTCTTCCAAATCATCATTTTTAGCTTGGCAGTTATACATTACATCTTGGAGACATTTTCTTTTTTTTTTTTTAATATTTATTTTTTTAGTTGTAGTTGGAAAAAAATACCTTATTTTATTTATTTTGTATGTAGTGCTGAGGATTGAACCCAGGGCCTTGCATGTGCTAGGCAAGCGCTCTGCTGCTGAGCCACAGCCCCAGCTCCTTGGGGACAAGTTCATAATCCTTCTTTATGCATTGGACCTTTTTATCACCTTTATGAAAATATAATTCGAAGGCAAAACTAAAGAATATTAGCATTTTATCTGCATTTTGAAATTAGTTATTATACTTAAAATGTTTTGATTGTTTGGGGAGATGGTTCTCAATTAGTTTATGTATTCTTAAGAGTTACAAGCCGTAAAGGCTTTGTTTTGAAAGTTGGCTAGAAACTTTTGATAGATAAATTTGGTGCCTGAGCATTTGCTCTTCAGGTGGATCACTTAAGCGTACTCTTTGAAAATTTGGTGATCCCTTTGAGAACATTTGGCAGTTTTTACTACTCTAATTTGCATTTTCTAGCATGTGACGGGCAACATCTGAGATTTTTCATTTAAATGCTACACTATAATAGCATTTTGATGGCATGTGGCCTTTGGGGCTTCAGATTCATTTGACTCTCGGGCTGGGCTCACTCTTGCCCAGTGGAGCTCATGCCGTTGCCCAGCAGCACTTGCAGCCTGGCTCCCCTTCCTCCTCGAGTTTGCAGGGCTGCTTTCGGTGGCAGCTTCAACACACACTTATTTCTGGGTGCTAAAAATTCATTTTGGACCTGAGGCGATTTGGTAATTGTTTAGTTTGTACTCTAACCCCCAGACCCTTCCATCCCTCGATTCTTGATGCAAAGCTGAGAATGACCTTCAGGACAGGTCCAGACACACCATTCCCGGGGTGTTCTAACTGGTTTTCCACATCAAAGAGCACTTCTATTTTCCAACTAACCCTTAAAGACTCTTGAGGGCCCCTTATCATCTTAGTATTTGGGAACAGTGCCCTGTGGCTCGGGTAGGAAGAGGGAGGTTCTTATTATCTAAAAACAGGCCTTGATAAACTGTTTGCAAAATTAGTCCCACTCAAATATTCCTAAACTGCCCTTCCCCAGCCAGCATGGTTAAATGGATTCTCAATCCCCTGTGGGATTAGCAACTTGCTGGGTCATTTTCTGTGGTGGTGTCATGTTTCAGTGGGTGCATGGTCATGCAGGGCAGTTGCAAGTCTTGCAAATATGTAAGGTATAAAATGCATTAAACTGATATTAGAAAAGTGCTTAAATCATAGCTAGGCTGGGTTTGTTACAATTGAGGTCCTTGGAAAAATTAAAAAGCCCTTAAGGTTGTTTTTTTTTTTTTTTTAATAATTTTTTAGTTGTAGTTGAACACAATACCTTTATTTTTCATTTATTTATTTTTTTTATGTGGTGCTGAGGATCAAACCCAAGGGCCTTGCATGTGCTAGGTGAGTGCTCTATTGCTGAGCCCCAGCCCCAGCCCCTTATTTTTAAATGACTCTTCATTCCATAATGGAAATGTGAAAGCCATCACACCTTGCTATCATAACAGTTTGTCAGAATTTTTACTTTTCTACCAAAAAGCCAACACCTATTTATTCTTAGTTAAGTCTAGACTCAAATATAATTATAGTTATGTCTAATTTTTAAAATAAGGTAGATTATATACAAACTTTAATCACTATTTATGAAATTTATGGATGCTGTTAACCATGAATTTATTTATATAGTCTTTTTTTCACAGTTAATATATGACCAAACAAAATCTCTGGTGGACTTTTGTTTATATAGTTCTTTTGTACATCGGGAGGGTGGAGAGTAATAGTTGCATGTGTAATTATAAAACTGACATGATCATTGAAGAAAATCTGCATTGTAAAGTATGTCAAAGAAAAGTAAAATGTGATGGTTTTTAATCATATGGTATGTGTGTTTATGCATGTGTTTATATATAATATGAAAATCATTATGCTTTTTAAGAAAATCTTGAGATTTTTCTCATTGTTAAATGTTCTTTGAAAACCATTTTTAATATCTGCATATGCATATTTGCCCATATACTGCTGAAAGTTTAATATCATCAAAATTGCTGAGCAATAACATTCTTATATACATATTTTTTTGTATTTGCTTTCTACATATGATTCCTAGATAGAAAGGACTCCACAGATCTAAATGAAAGAGTACCTGAGAGTCTTTGTTACAGGGACAGGTTTTTCCCTCTGATGGCATCCCCCCATACATTTTGTTAGTTTTCTTTTTTAGCAGGGCATCTTAGTGAATCAGCATGTTCTTTACATTCTACCACACTTTTGCTTTTGTTTTTTAACTCTTTAAAAACAGTGGTAAATTTTATATATAATAAAATATGCCAATCTTGGTATATAATTTAAGTTTTAATAAATGTATATACTGCCATGCAACCACTTCCAGCCCCTCCGAGTTGAAATAATAGAAAATCTCCTACTTTGGATCACTTGGTAAGCATTCTTGAAGTTGGATGTAGTCCCTCTTCTCAGGGAAGGCCCTCCAGGTTGTTTTTCCTGATCAGGAGAGAGGGTACAAGGGTAGCAGACACATTTACTAAGGCTGTGATGCTTTCTTGTTGTTGTAAAACCTAGTCACCCAGTTTGTTTAGGGAAGAGATACTGGCTCATTTCCCACCAGCAAGTGACTATAAGTCTATCACAATTTCGCTTCCTTTCTTTTAGATGCTGAGATTTTTATACCACCAAAGATGGACAGAACCCAGTGGAAACTGAGCTTGCTAGAGTGACTGACCATTAGGAAGTCCCCAGCAGAGAAGACTCCTTCCACCCTATGTTCCTGAGGCCTGGCATTGGAGAACTGGAAGTGTTCTGATCTGTCTAGTGTTGCCGAGAGCTGCTATAGTCACAGACCTCAGCAGACACCAGGCAATTCTATTTTTATTTCCCTTGGAGAGGATACATCTTAGTCATTAGCAAAACTTTGAGCTGTAGCCAATATATCATAATTTCTTAAAGAATCTCTGCTCTTGTACTTAATGCTGTTTGAGAGCATTATTATTTATGGTAATCATGAGATTAGGTCTCATTTCCAGCTACAAGTCTGATTTATATAGGGACTTTGGACATGTCACGCAATTGATTTGTACCTCTGTTCTTATCTGTTAATAGAGAATGATGTTTCATGGCTTCTACCTCAAAAATGTGAAGACAAGTAATGTTACTTACTTGTTTTATGTTACTGGAAGAGAGCACTATATATAAACAAAGACTAGTAGTGCTACCAGCAGTCAGATGTAGACACTTAACTGGCTTCACTTTAAAGCAAAATAAAAATCAAATGTGTCATCTAAGTCATGTGATTGAGTTTTAATTGGGCTGTGCCTCCTATAGTTACACTGTTAGGGACTGTTTCATTGCCCATGTTTATTCTGCTAGAGAGTCAGCAATGTTAGAGCTGGAATGCATCAGAATTTCTAAAACAGTATCATGTACCTTTGGTTTGGGTGAGTGCACGGTGTCTGGCATGCGTGACTGAAAATTATTCTTTGTTCTCTAGATACTGCTTCCTTTAACTGAAATGTTTATCTCAATGTCTAGGCCATTTTATTTATTTATTATTTTATGGTTTTTAACTGACCTCTGTTTTATTCAGTTTCTCAAAAGAACTTTTATTTTCTTTGGAAAAATGAAAATGTTTTCTCTTTTTGGCAAGTCTAGAAAAAGGCTGGTTTATTTTGACAACAGTTTTGTGGCTAATCCTTGGGTGAAGTTTAAAAAAAAAAGTTTTTAATACCAAAACCAGACCCTTATTTCTATATATGAATAATAGGAAATGCTGCTTTTGGTTATCAGACTATAGATCTATTCCAAACTGTCATTTCAGAAGAAATTCTTTACTATAGTATAATGCTAATTATAGAGTCCAGAGGTATTCGCTGTATAACTTAATTTTATTGTGTATTTGAAATTTTTCATAAAATAGAAAAAAAGAAAAGATATATACTTTGCTTTGGGGCGGGGGCAGTACTGGGGATTGAACTCAGGGGCACTCAGCCACTGAGCTGTACAACCCCAGCCTTGTTTTGTATTTTATTTAGAGACGGTCTCACTGAGTTGCTTAGCACCTCGATTTTGTTGAGGCTGGCTTTGAACTCGTGATCCTCTTGCCTCAGCCTCCTGAGCTATTGGAATAACAGTTGTGTGCCACAGGAAATCTACTTTTCAAAACTCATAATGGATTTACTATAATTAGATGGTGTTGGCATAAGAGGTTTACAAGTCGCAGTTCACCTTTGAGGGGCTATATTTTGTGATTCCTCTTTAGCATGGATAAATGAACATGGTAACTTTTATAGCATTTTAATATATTGTAGTGCTCTTGCTTTGAATAATAGTAAAGGACCCATGCTTTGAACTAGAAATAGAAGTGAATGTGTTTATTGATAATAGTGTGAATTTTCTTGAATGCTCAATTTCCTTAAAATAATATAATGAAACAGCAAGAAAGAATCTGTGTGATTGCAGATTACTATCAATACCATCTCATCTGAGCAGGGTTGAATTTCTTCATCTTGAGAAGCAGCAGACAGGAGCAGACCTTCTAAGTTGAAGGCAAAGCCAAGGAAGAATTTGTGGGGAAGAAATTGAGTATATGGGGAAAGGAGAAATTTGTGTCCTTGTGGAATAAATAGGTGTAATTTCTTAGCATTGCCACAGATTTTAAAATCAGTTTCTGTGTCTGTGTGTATACACAAACATTCACACATATCGGGAAATTTGTCATAGCCATAACAAGAAGGTGTTTTTAGAAAATAAATAAAACTGACAATTCTTGGTAATTTAAAGAGTCTGCAAGTTTGGGAAGCAAAATTAGATTTTTTTCCCCTCCTTTTGTGCCAGTCTGTAAAATATTTTGGCTTCTCTGGAAGTACCATCTGCACAAGTCCTTGAGACTCTTTTTGAGTGTCCATCCTTGTCTTGTTATTTATTAGTACCTAGGGTGAGGGTGGGAACCTTAGAAGCTTACTAACTACAGATGTCCACAAGATCACAGACAGCCACACCCCACATGGTGCTGCTTGGCAGTGCTAAAGGCCTGCCTGGGTCCTGAGCTCTGTGCTTCTGTGCCCTGTGTCTGCAGTTACTCTGTTGGCTCTAAAGGACCACCAGGAACATCAACAACAGTAGGTATCCTCATGGCATAAAGGAAAGAGCAAGGGTTTGAGCTTTGGGTCCACCCAGCTTGGTGTCTTGGACACAGTTGTTTCTTCTGAGTCTTGCTGTCATCCAGCTAAACAGGACTTCGCAGCAAAAATTCTAATATTGTCACAACCTTCTTTGGGAGTAGGGGTAGCTATCCTGTGTGTGGTGGGATGTTTAGGTACTTCTCTGGCCTTTTCCCTAAATTAGATATCAGTAGTGCACACTCACATCCCCATTGTAACCACCAAAAATAGTTTTGATATTGTCAAAATTTCCCCCCAGTTGCAAATTACTGGGCTTAAACGGCTTCAAAATTGCTCTTGGATAACTTGTAAGTATGCAGAAGATTACATTTGGCTTCTAGATAAAAGGTGGATATCTGCAAGGTTCTGGCTAGACATTGTGAGCCAGATTCTTGTTTTCGGGAGTTTGTTTCTGATTTTATGTCAGCTCTGTGAGGTATTTGGTTTTATAGGTAAGCAAATAGATTCAAAAAGATAGATGATAGCATAATAGGGTTTCAAATTTTCACAGTCTAAAGCCATTGTCCTTTCTACTGTTTTATGCTACCTGCTAGTGTTTAGATTATGAATCTTAAAGGCAGGACAAGAATGTCCTTAGGGACCATCCTAAAGATTTTCCAATTTGGTGTATTCGAATTACAAACTCCCTCTGCAATAATACCCCAGAGCCTGCTGGGGCTTGGGAAGGCTTCTCTGCCAACTGAAGATCTGCTAATTCCTTTGGGTTCCTAAGCTGGATTAGAACAACCAACATAGAGCAGCTGTCTGTCCACAAACCCACACCATCAGCCCCAGAATTTGCAGCTTTCATCCTGATCCACCCCAAATTCCTACTATATTCTAGACTTTCATCCCTGACCTCAGTGCTCAACTGAAGGTAAGTCTTTGCCCACTTACTAAAAGGGAGTGTGTATATATACAACACTCATTTTCTGAAGAGTTGGTCCCTTAGGACATGTACACATACCTTGCTGATAATATTCACCGTGGGCACTCACCACAATGGTGAATAAGAACTAGAATTGAGGCTTAAGTGTCTGTGGGAATTGAAAGAAGGTATAGTTAAAGCAGGGGTTCACTACCTTCAGCAATTTCCAAGTCTTCAGAGTTGCTGGCAAGGTATGAAATACACACTGCTGCTCTGTGGGAGATTGTACTTTTACAGCATACTTCCTGCTGGTGTTATGGAAAGAGTTTTCCATAGCCCCTTCCAAAGCTGGCTTAAACAGTGAAGTAGCTCCCAAAGTGGGAGAACGCACCATAAGGGACACATTAATTTTAGGTCTGGTTTCTCCCAAGAAAGTAAAGTGTTTAACCAGTCAACATATAATGCCTATTTCATTCATCCTTCCCCCACCCCTGCTTTTATTTTGGCAAATGCACATCTTAAGGCCAATTCTGCATCTGTGAAGTTGTCAGGAAATAGACAAGCTCTGGAGGGGAATATGAGGGGTGTTTAATGAAACAGTGATGAACATGTTGGCTCAGCTCCTGAAAGTAAGGTAGGTGCTTGCCCAGCAGAGCTGAAGTAGTGCCTCCTTAGTTCAGAAGCACCTTCTGTAGAGGAAGAAAGGCCCGTGCTCCTCATACTCAAAGCGGTGGACCCACAGTGGCTGGAAACCCTGAAGCGAAGCCAGGATCGATCCACCAGTCCATACTGCAGTGTCTCTCTCAGGCAACACGTTCACCTGTGGGGTGTCATTGGGACACATACTACTCAGCTCCTTTTGCAGACGGTTAGGGAAACCACTGAGCATGGTGCTTCCCCCACAGAGCAGGATATTCCCCATGAGGTCCCGCTTGAGGGCGATGTCACACTTGTTGAGGCAGGACACTGTCTGAGTGTGGAGGCCCAACTGCATGGACTTGATCAGAGATGGCTTGAAGAACATCTCTGAGCAGAGGAACCTTTCCTGGCACAGGTGTATCTCCTTCCCGTCAGGCAGAGTATACTGAAGCTCATGCTCAGAAGGAGGGATTTTCTTCTCTTCGATGGGGTCCAGGGCCACAAAGCAGCATTTTGTCTTGATGTCCTCCACGATGCTCACCTGGTCCTCGGTGAAGTGCTTCCCCGAGTTGTTCATCAGGCACATCAGGTAGGCCGTCAGGTCGGAGCCTGCATAGTCTAGCCTTCCAGTGATGCTGGGCAAAGGATAACCCTCGTATATAGGGACCACGTAGGACACGCCATGGCCGACCTCCACCACCAGGCCAGAGGTCCTTCCGTAGGAGTACATGGACAGGCGGGACTGGTAGGCAATGTGCATGGCAGGTGTGTTGAAGAATTCAAACAGCATCTCGGCATACTTCTCTCTGTTGGTGTGTGGGCTCAAGGGTGGATCTGACACCAGGACTGCGTGCTCCTCGGGCATGATCTTCATCTCCTGTCGGAAGAGATACTCCCAGATATCCTGCACTGTGTCCCAGTCCACGATGATGCCGTGCCGCAGAGGGTTAACCAGCTTGAGACGAACATCTGATTGGAGGAGCTCCCGCCCCACAAAGGTCTCCTTGCGATTATCCCCAGTTTTGGCCGTCTCCATGTAGGGCTTGCCCACCGTCGTGGAGATCTTGTGGGTGGGCTTTGGCAGTCCAGCAAAGCCACATTTACAGTAGCCAGTGCCAAGGTCCACGACCACTGCTTTGGTCACCTCTACCTTGGGCCTCTGCTTGGGCGCCGTGGACTTCACAGATTCTTCCGGCTCTGCACTGTTACGGCCAACCCACACTGCCCGCTTCGCGGGGCCTTCCTTTAAGGATGCAGTCTGTAAGACCTGAGTCTGCATGGAGACCTGGTCCCCTGCTTTCTTGGCAGGCCCATCCCCTATGTTTGCTGCCTGAGGAGCCCACACACTGTCAAGAGCCATACTGCTCTTGAGAAAGCCCCTCACTCCCACTGGGTTCAAGGCCTGAGAGGCTTAAATCAGAGGACCACATAGCAATGTTCCCAATGATGACATCGGTGATTGTGACATCATCCAGTGATCCAGGGTTTTCTAGGTACTAGGGACCTTTGTCGCATGTTAGAGCACCTTTGGAGAATTGTTTTTGAAATGGTACCCCTTCTAAATTTTGTAATGAACTGATTGTTCATATCGATGAATGTTTATCGAGGGACTGCACTGGGCAAGGCATCTGGGAATACAGCAGTGGGGAAAAAAAGAAAAATCTGCCTTTGTAGGGCTTATGTTCTTGTAGGTGGGGGTTGGAGGGAGAGACAGACAATAAATGTTACGTATTAAACAAAATGCTGGGCTAGGGATATGGCTCGGGCGGTGGTGCGCTCACCTGGCGTGCGTGCGGCCCGGGTTCAATCCTCAGCACCACATACAGACGAAGATGTTGTGTCCGCCGAAAAACTAAAAAGTGAATATTGAAAAGATCTTCTCACTCTCTCTTTAAAAAAACAAACAAACAAAAAAACAAAATGCTATTTGTTAAAACAAAACAAATACATGTTAGAAAGTGTTCAGAGCAAAAGAGATAGTACAGAAAGGAGTGGCAAGGCTATTGTGACCTGGGCGGGGCCCTGAGATGGTGGCAGTTGTGCAAAGATCTGAGGGAGGAAGAGCCACAAGGTAAAGAGGACTGAGGCTGTCATGTGGCTAATGAGGTGGGGCAGAGGCCATCAGAACACAGCCGGGTCCAGCCTGCAGATTTGGTTGTCTGAAAGTTTTTTATTGTAGACAAACACAGTACCTTTTTTTAAAAAAAGATATTTTTTTTTAGTTGGACACAATACCTGTATTTAGCGCTAGGTGAGTGTGCTGTTGCTGAACCACAAGCCCAGCCCCACAGTGCCTTTTATTTATTTGTTTATGTGGTGCTGAGAATTGAAACCACTGCCTCACAGGCACTGAGTAAGTGCTCTGTCACTAAGCCACAACCCCAGCCCCTCTGCATGGCTGCATGACCCTAAAAGTTGAATGAAAATCAATGCCAACTGTCTGGCCCTCCCCAGCAGACCAGTGCCGCCTGTAGAGGGAGGCGGGAAGGAGCCAGTGGGAGGGGAGAAGAAAGTGGGTGGCGGAAGGTGACCAGCTCCCATGAGCCTCGTAAGCCATCACAAGGATTTTGGCCCTGACCAGGCGAGATGAGAAAGCACCAGACAATTGTGAGGAGAGGACTGATGCCATCTGAGGTTCATTTTAGCTGGAGCCTTTGTTGCTGTGGTGACTGTGCCAAGCTCTTCTGTCTCACTTCAGACCCTCACTTCAGACACTTAGGACAATCCTAAGAGGAGTGCTTTGGACATAATATTTGTCACCTTCTCCTTTATCAGGGTCATGGGGTCAGCAGGGAAATTGGACTCTCCAGAGTCCCATTAATGAGAAATGGAGGCGTAAAGGTGTAGGGGGTAACCAAGGTATCCAGCCGGCGAGGCCAAGGTCTCCTGCTCCAGCTGCCTCCCTGGGGTGCGCTGGACACACCTCAATGAGACCTAACACGGTCTCAGGCTGCTCAGACACCGCCTGGCAGCCACTCTCTGAAGCTGGGCGTGTTGATGCGGAGGCTGCCACTGTTGGGCACCCAGAATCCAGTCTTCTGCTTACCTTGAACCTCACACCCAGCCCTGTGCTCTTTAAGGGGGCAGCCGCTACAATGATGGACTTTCCCCTATAAGGAGGTCGTGGGGGTGCTCTTGGCCTTGTGAGGTGTGAGAAGAAAAGGATCAAGGACAGGCTTACGAGCTCTGTAACTGTCTGACGGGGACAGCCAAACGGAAAGAAAGCACTCTTGGACCCTCAAGATTTCTAAGGAGGCTCGGTGGGTAGGAGTTGGATGAACTTGGATTTGCAGTGTGCTCTTAGGTTCATCATTTGGATTCTGAACCTCTGTACTCAGCTCTGCTTCCTCCCAGGATTCTGCAACATAACAAGTACCTGGTACAAGGGCAATGATATCAACCAAACTATTGCAATATCATGTGCATGTACAAATATTTAATGACAAATTCCACTATTATGTATGATTCTACTATACCAATAAAATATGGAAAAATATAAGCATAACGATAACAAAAGTACCTGGTACAGTGCCTGACTTACTGTAGGAGATAAAATATTTATCATTCTCAGCAGAGGGTCCTCAACGAACAGGGGGTTAGGTGTGGAGTTAGGGGAGGGAGCATCTGCCACGCAACCAGCGCGGGCTTCATGAAAGAAGGTTCGGTTCATAAGAAATTGCTAGTGAGTTTTAAATTAAAGACACAGACTCTCATTACCTTTAATATCAGCTCCAAGACAGCTTCTCCTCTCGCCTCCAGCCACCTAATGCAGTGGCGAGGTTTACAGAAGAGACTAGCGAGAGAGGGAGAGCACGCCAGGGAGTGAGCTTTTATTGGGGAACAAAAAATTCCAAGGAAAATCTCATCCAATGAAGGTTAAGGGGGGCAGCATCCCAAGGTCAAGGATGACGATTGGGTCTTCAGGGCAGTAGCCAGACACGCCTCTGCATGGACAAGCCCTCAGACCTGGGAAAGGGTGGGGCAGGCTCAGACACAGCTGTGTTTAAGCGCCTCTCACCCAGCCAGGGAGGTAACTCAAATCACATGCGAGGATGGCCTCCCACAGGAGCAGAAATCTGAGGCCCTACTGTGCTTGGATTACTAAAACTGCTGGCCACCAGCTCCCGCCTGGAGCAAACTAAAGTTAGAAGGATAGAGGTGGCAGGTGACAAGACCAGGCCCCCCGCTTAAGAGTGCCTGAATGGACCAGCTCCAGTGACATCACAATCCTAACTGGTTGCCAAGACGCTACTGGAGGTGGACTCTCATTTCTCCCTAGGGAGCTCTAGGATGTGGATGTGAGAAAGGAAGGCAGATGGCGACAAAGAACAACCCCAGCCCCATGCCCATGGGCACCGCCCAGGGGGACCCGGGAGAGGCAGGAACCCTGCCAGGTCCTGATGCCAGCATTCGGGACTCAGGTTCCACTGCTCAGCTGAAGATGAAGCCCAAGAAGGTGCGCAAGATCAAGGCACTCATCATTGACCTGGGCTCCCAGTACTGTAAGTGCGGCTATGCTGGAGAGCCGAGGCCCACTTACTTCATCTCCTCTACTGTGGGCAAGCGCAGCCCCGAGGCAGCTGCTGACGCAGGTGACACCCGCAAGGAGACCTACGTAGGCCATGAGCTGCTCAACATGGAGGCACCCCTGAAGCTGGTTAACCCACTCAAGCATGGCATCGTGGTGGACTGGGACTGCGTCCAGAGCATCTGGGAGTACATCTTCCACACAGCCATGAAGATCCTCCCCGAGGAGCACGCTGTGCTGGTCTCCGACCCTCCGCTCAGCCCCAGCAGCAACCGGGAGAAGTACGCGGAGCTCATGTTCGAGACCTTTGGCATCCCTGCCATGCATGTGACATCCCAGGCACTGCTGTCCATCTACTCGTACGGCAAGACCTCGGGGCTGGTGGTGGAGAGCGGGCATGGGGTCTCGCATGTGGTGCCCATCTCTGAGGGCGACTTGCTGCCTGGCCTGACCAGCTGCGCCGACTTCGCAGGCAGCGACCTCACCAACTACCTGATGCAGCTGCTCAACGAGTCTGGCCACAAGTTCACCGATGACCACCTGCACATCATAGAGCACATCAAGAAGAAGTGCTGCTACGCGGCTCTGCTGCCGGATCAGGAGCTCAGCCTGGGCCTGAACGAGCTGCGGGTGGACTACGAGCTGCCCGACGGCAAGGTCATCACCATCGGCCAGGAGCGCTTCCGCTGTGCCGAGATGCTCTTCAAGCCCTCCCTGATGGGCAGCCACGAGCCAGGCCTCCCAGCGCTCACAGCTGCCTGCCTGGGCCGCTGCCAGGACACTGGCTTCAAGGAAGAGATGGCCGCCAACGTGCTGCTGTGTGGCGGCTGCACCATGCTAGATGGTTTCCCCGAGCGCTTCCAGAAGGAGCTGAGCCTCCTGTGCCCTGGGGACAGCCCCACAGTGGCTGCTTCTCCTGAGAGGAAGACTTCCGTGTGGACCGGCGGCTCCATCCTGGCCTCCCTGCAGGCCTTCCAACAGCTCTGGGTCAGCAAGGAAGAGTTCGAGGAGCGGGGCAGCGCAGCCATCTACAGCAAGTGCTGAGGGGCGGGTCCCCAGGCCACTATACAGTTACAGAATTTCACATAAAATTTTAACTTGCGATGGTTCTTGTCTGGTCTGAATTTCTTGGTCTAATCTGATAATAGAAGGTGTGGGCAGCTGGGCTTAGAAGTGATCTGCACCTTTGGTGCTGGGTGATGGGAGTGGGAAGTGGGGGCCAATCTGGATGCCCCTCCCTTTTCCTTCTCTCAGTAGGTGATATCAGCTCATAGCTTAGAGTGTGGTGTGCTACTCCATTAAATCCTCCAGGTTCAAACTGGATTCAACAGACTCTGAATTGCTTACTCAACTGTCAGCCAAGAGGGAAATAGCTTTTGCTAAGGGACTAGCCCGCGAGGGTAATTGGCAACTGGAGGAGACTTAGATTCCTGGCATTAGTCTTAATGTTCCTGGACCCAGTGCCAGGGCTGTGAGCTTGGGAAAGAACCAGAACAGTCATTATTACCTAAGCCATGCTCAATAGACCTTCTTTATTACTCAAGGTCCATCTTCTGGCCTGAAATTTGAGTATCCAGCTCTGGCCAGACTTCAGTGCCAGGCACAGAATCTTCCTGTAGAGGGATGTTGCAGATTGGAAGCCTGAAGGTAGACACATTTTATTTGGCTGGCACAGTGTATAAAGTTTCCTCTTAAATGTGAATTCTTTAGTGGGGCCCTCATTCTCTTCGATGCCGAGGTCCCTACTGAATGATGTCTTCATACGTATGTACCTGCTTCTTCAACATAACTTAACTAGCATTAGTTTCTGTTTCTTGCCACTCAGTACTGATCATAAATGACTAATACTGATCATAAAAACCTAATGAGGTGCAGAGAGGGGAAAGTGATATGCCCCAGTAA